TTTTCTTTATAGAACATTTCAAAGTATAAATATATAGGGAAATTAAAATTATCCCTGATTTTCCACTTAGAACCTTGGCTTTCAAGATTATAAGTCTGTTTTTTAATTAGAACTCTTAGACATTCCAAACGTTTATTAGAACTTCCTCATTCTGTTTTTTACCACTTTCAGAAGATCGGAGACTTGAGGCACTCTGAATATCTAGCAAACCCTCCATAAATAATAATAAACAGCATGTTATTTCGTGTATAAATAACTTATCCTACACAAATTGAATGTTCCTTTCTGAGAGTGGTGATGGATAGATTTAGATGGATAGATTAAATATAAAGAAATAAGGCCAAGGAAAGAGAGACTCAAAGAATTGTATATCGATTGATTTAACATCTGTTTCATGTAAACTTCAAAAGAGACTATTAGACAATTTGGAAGCATGAGAAGCTATAATGAAGTCCCATTTTTATTTGATGTAGCTAACTTTGTAATATATCATGCTGTTAACCAGGATGGGGAATATAAATGCAATAGCAAATTTGGGAAAAATGATGAGATTAAAAAAAACCCAGCTTCATTGAGATATAATTCACATACCATAAAATTCACTCTTTAAAAGTGTACAATTCAGTGCTTTTTAGTATATTCAGAGAGTTGTGCAACCATCACCACTATCCAATTTTAGGACATGTTTATCACTGTAAAATGAGACTCCCATATCTGTTAGCAGCCATTCCTTATTTCCCACTCCCACAACACCTGGCAACCATGAATCTACTTTCTGTCTATATAGATTTGCCTATTCTGAACAATTGATACAAATGGAATCATACATACTTGGCTTTCTGTGGCTGGCTTCTTGTACTCAGCATAGTGTTTTAAGGTTCATCCATTTTGTAGCATGTATCAGTACTTAATTTCTTTTCATGGCTGAATAATATTCCATTGTATGCATATACCACATTCTGTTTATCCGCTCATCAGTTAATGGACATTTGTTTCCTCTTTTTGGCTATTATGAATAACGCTACTGTGAACATTCATGTACAAGTTTTTGTGTAGACATATGTTTTTAGTTCCCTTGGATGTAGATGTAGGAGTAGAATTGCTGGATTATATGGTGACACTATGTTTAAGCTTTAAGGAACTGTCAGACTGGTTTCCAAAGTGACTGCAGCCCCCAACCATGAAGGGTTCTAATTTCTTTACATTCCCGCCGACACTTGTTATTGTTTTGTCTTTTTTGATTATAGTCATCCTAGTGGGTGTGGACTGGTATCTCGTAGTTTTCATTTACATTTATCTAATAACTAATGAGGTTGAGCATCTTTTCATGTGCTTGTCGGTCTTTTGTGTATCTTCTTTGGGGAAATACTTGTTCAAATCCTTTGCCCAATTTTTAATTATTTGCCCAATTTCAATTATTTGTCTTTTTATTGCTGAATTGTAATAGTTCTTTATTTTGGATACAAGTCTCTTATTAGGTATATGATTTGCAAATATTCTCTCCTGTTTTGTGAGTCTTCTTTTCACTTTCTTGATGGTGTCTGTTGAAGCACACAGCCTTTTATTTTCAAAGTCCAGTTTATCTGTATTTTCTTTGTCACTTGTGCTTTTTATGTCAATATCTAAGAAACCATTGCCTATTCTAAATTCACAAGATTTATTCCTATCTTTTCTTTTAAAGTTTTATAGTTTTAGTTCTCACATTTAGGTCTATAATCCATTTTGAATTAATTTTTGTATATGGTGTGAGGTTAGGGATTCAACTTCTTTCTTTAGCATGTGGATATCCAGAATTCCCAGCACCATTTGTTGACAAGACTATTCCTTCCCCATTGAATTATCTTGGCACCCTTGTCAAAAATGAGTTGTCCATAAAGTAGGAGTTTTTTGGTGAACTCTCAATTCTATTCTATTGCTTTCTGTCTATCCTTATATCAGAACTGCACTTTATATGCCAGCTCCTTACTTTGTAGTACGTCTTGAAATTGGGAAATATGAGTCCTCCAATTTTGTTTTTCTTTTCAAGATTGTTTTGAGTTGAAAAGCCTGTTTTTCAACTGTTCAAGCTGTTCTGAGTCCATTGCATTCTATGGGAATTTTTGGATCAGTTTGTCAGTTTCTGTCATGAAGTTACCTAGAATTTTGATAGGGATTGTATTAAATCTGTAAATCAATTTGGGGGTTTTTGCCATCTTAACAATATTAAGTCTTTCAACCCAGGGACACTGGCTGTCTTTCCATTCATTTATGTCTTTTATAATTTCTTACAACTATGTTTTATAGTTTCAGTATACAAGTTTTGTAGTATTTTCATTTTATTCTTTTTGATGCTATTATAAATGCAATTGATTTCTTAATTTCACTTTTGAATTGTTTATTTCTAGTGCATAGAAGTACAACTGATGTTTTAAAAATCTTGTATCCTGCAACCTTTCTGAACTCATTTGTTAGTTATAATAGTATTTTTTTGGTGTGGCTTACCTAGGAAGGTAATTTTCTATATACAAGGTCATATTATTTTCAAATAGAGATAGTTTTACTTTCTTTTCATTCTGATACTGGTTTTGAATCTGTAAAATTTTATTTTACTTTATTTTTTTGTTGAAGTATAGTTGATTTACAATGTTTCAGGTTTACAGCAAAGTGATTCAGTTTTATGTGTGTGTGTGTGTGTGTGTGTGTATTCTTTTTGAGATACTTATTTTGGTGGTGGTGGGGTGCTGTGCCGCATGGCTTGTGGGATCTCAGTTCCTTGACCAGGGAGTGAACCCTGGCCATGGCAGTGAAGGAGCCAAATCCTAACCACTAGACCACCAGGGAACTCCCCTCAGGTACTTTTCCACTACAGATTCTTATAAGATATTGAATATAGTTCCCTTTTCTATACAGTAGGTCCTTGTTGTTTATCTATTTTATATACAGTGGTCTGTATCTGTTAACCCCAAATTCCAAATTTATCCCCCCCTGCCCTTTTCCCCTTTGGCAGCCATAAGTTTGTCTTCTATGTCTGTGAGTCTATGAATCTGTAAATTTGAGGTGAATTGGGACATCTGTTGGACATATCTAGCAGGCAGTTGGATATATGAGATCAGAACTAAGGGAAGATTGGGGCAGGAGATAGAAATTTGAAAGCCCTTATCAACATATGAATAGTGTAGTTTTTGGGAAGTGGAAGCCAGATTGAAGTAAATTGAGTAAATAAAAGGTGAGGTAACAGAGATAGCTAATATAGAAGCACAAATGAGAAGAAAAGAGCCTCAAAAGGTTAAACTTATAGTTTCTTAAAATATGGTTTGTGGGCCATCTGCATTTAAATTACTTGGGATACTTGTTAAAAATACATTTTCCTATGTTCCATCCCAGACCCTCTGAATTAGACTCTCTGTGGATAGGTCTTGGTGTTCTTCATTTTAAACTAATTCTTAGATAATTCTTGGGCACATAGGAATTAGAGAATCCCTCAACTAAAGGAATTCTGTTGAGAATGAGAAGGAATGGGAGAAAACTTGAGTGTTTTTGTAGCTTTGATAGAAACAATAGGGAGGGTGGAGTTGAAGAGTGAGAAGAATGAAGAACCAAACTCCCCAAGGAAGGTGGAATTTAGAAAAGAGATGAAAGGATTGGCCTAGAATAGAAGGAGAAATGTCTCTTCCATACATCTGGTGTTAACATACAAAGTTTTAAAAGCTTTGAAGTAAGCTAGCCCATTTCTTCGTTTTTTTATATGGGAAAAACATAGTTAATAGGGCAAAGCAATGCCCAGGGTTCCATAATCAATTATGTAATAATACTGAGTACAACCCAGTTTTCTCAGTTCCCCGTTTATTGGTGTTTGCACAGCCTCGTACTGTTGCTGATCCTGTTCATTTCTGTGTAGAGTAACTGTTTCTAGTAGTGCTTTAACCAAGAACATCTCTTCTGCCATAATGCTCTGTTTTGTTCACTGTACCTCAGTCATATAAAGATTTCTAAAGGGTGGCGAAAAATAGCGAAGCTCTTGCATGCATGTTTTGCTTCTGCCACCATGATTGGGATAGTTGACTGAAATATCAGCCGAAAGCTTTTCTTCACAAAGAGCAGCAGTACCCTAAACCGTACCCGTTCCCTAACCCTAAACCTAACCCCGACCCTAACCCTAACCCTTAGGGGGTTCTGTGTACAGAACTAGTTGTTCATTTCTTCATTCTAGAATAGACTAAGCACAATAGTGGCTGTCACTTATTCCATACTTGTTTTGTATCTAAAACTATGCTTAGTTTTTTACATTCATTATCTTAATTTTTTTTCTTTTTGTGATATGTGGGCCTCTCACTGTTGTGGCCTCTCCCGTTGCTGAGCACAGGCTCCAGATGCGCAGGCTCAGGGGCCATGGCTCACGGGCCCAGCCGCTCCGCGGCATGTGGGATCCTCCCGGTCCGGGGCACGAACCCACGTCCCCTGCATCGGCAGGCGGACTCTCAACCACTGCGCCACCAGGGAAGCCCCATTATCTTAATTTTTTAAAAGAACCATCTGAAGGTAGATAGTATTAAGATCCAAACTCTATAAATGAGGAAAGTCAAGGTCAGTGAGATTAGTTCAATGAAACAAAGTGAGTGGCAGACCCAAGATTCAATGAAACAAAGTTCAGTGAAACAAAGTGAGTGGCAGAACCAAGATTCAAACTCAGGTTTGAGTGTCTGACTCCCAAGTCCATGATCGTAACCACTCTGTCATTCTTTCTTTGTGTACATGGGAGATATGACTGTTGGAAGAAGGATTAACAATGGCATCCAAAATAGCATGTTGTTCTCTAGACCACAATTTGTAGTGCTCCCATCATATAACTTAGGGATGGACAACATTTTAAGACTGAGAGCTTATTTTGTAAAACTTATATTGCTTTGTTACTTAAAGCTATATTAGGGTTGCTGAATGTTAACGTGTATTACTTTCTTTTTCCCTTTCATTATTTTTATGCTACTTTAATGGTGACTTTTGAAGTACTCTTTTCTTTTCAGAAAAACCATGCCAGATGGATCATCTGGATCGAATCCTTCTGTCTGGCATCTATAATGTACGAAAGGGAAAGACCCAGCTGCATAAGTGGGCTGAACGCCTGGTTGTTCTCTGTGGCACCTGCCTCATCGTTTCCTCAGTGAAGGATTGTCAGACTGGAAAGATGCACATTTTGCCTCTGGTTGGGGGAAAGGTAAGACTCACAAAGATGAATTATTCTTCCTCTAATCATCTTAATTAAAAAAATATCACATATGCTTTTCAGAGCTTTTTCTACATCTTTTCAAATAAACCAATATGAGCATTATTAAAGATTACGTCACAAAGTTTTTGTGCTCTTAGTTTTAAACAAAACCACTCAGGCTAATTTAAGCATAAAACAAGTTCATGTACATCACACTCCCTGGGAGGTCCAAAGACTATCCATGCCCCAAATTCTGCTGCAGGACCATCTGTTGGAGAAACCCCTGCGTCCACTGCTAGACACTAAATCCTCTCTCATTGGTACCACCAAGAGTAGACAGAGGATACTACCACTAGAAGCTACCTTTGTAAACTAGAAGTAGCTGTTAGCATCCCCTCCAAAATAGATTCTTTCCTGTTTCTCTTTTTCCCCCGTTAGACTGAAATTCAGAGTCTGGAGTGGTCATAAGCTCCTACCCAGCAGCCAGAGAAACCTGCCATTTCTTGCATCTGTACCAGAGAATTCTCCATCATAGGAAAGGCAGTTCCAAGTCTGGAAAACAGATAATGTTTATAGGAAGTTATACATAATTTTATTTCCTTTATGTTGAATCTTGAAGATCATAAAACAACCTGAATTGAAGAGAACTTGCAGACAAAATGACTTTGTGAATCATGCTTTGAGATAGCCAGTTTGATCCAGATACACAGCAATATAGATAAAATACATATATTTAAAAAATAAACATATGAAAGGACATAACTGGACTTAGGAATGTGGAATAGAAATGTAAGTGGTGAGGGCCTACTGGGCTCTGGGTCTGAAAGGTGGCAGCCTAGGGGTTTAGCTCCTATAAGTATCTGGGTCTAAAAGTACTCTGGTTAGGATGCGGGACCTGGCCCAAGCTTATTGCTGGAAGCTAGGAAATGAGTGGTATTCTTTGCTCCTGATAAAAAGCTGGAAAAAAACAAAAACCCAAACCAAACACTTCTGTAAACCACTGACTGGAACCAAGGCTTGTTCCTGGCTGTGGTTCTAAACAAATGCGTGGACCCAGTTGTATGCCCTGTGACTAGGAAATGAACAAGCCCCACCTGGCCTAATAAATGAATGTGTGTCACTCCAGTATCATCCGTGGAGCAGAAACCCACTACTACCAATATGAGACCTGGTTCTATTCTTGGGGGCTGAAGGATAGTGAAGAAAGTAAGTGAAATTTCTCCAAAGGGAGAAGGTGAGTGAGGACAAGGTTGGAGGATTGACGGAGAGGAAGTGGGAAACAGAGCAAGAAAGAGAAAGAAAAACAAACCTCCCATTTACGTAATTCTTGTCCGTTCTCTCTCTTCCGTCACTAATAGTATAGAATTGTGTTCAGGGTGGTGATGTGACCAAGATCAAAAACTCCCCAGCCTCCCTTGTAGCTAGTGGTGGCTAATAAATATAAACAGAAGTTTGCAGGTGGGACTTTTGGGAAAGGCCTTTAAAGTGGGAGAGACGTGCATGGCTTGACCCTTTGCCCTGCGTTTCCTTCCTTTATGGAACATAGTCTCTTGGTATTGGAGATCATATGGTGGCTGGAAACTGCAGGCATTTGCTGAGTGTGGCCTTCCGGAAAGCAGGAGGCGCCTGGGCCCCTGGTGGCAGGGCAGAGCTGCTGTAGCACTCCTGGACTGATGCTGTGTTTTTAAGCCACTACTTCACAGCTGAATGTAATGAACCAGCGAACGTACTGAAGAATTTCACAGTTAAAACGTATAAGGGAGGGTCCAGTATACATCTAATAGCAGTTCCAGAGAGGAGAGTAAGGAGAATGGATAAGCAATATTGGAAGAAATAACGGTTGAGATTTTTCTAGAAATAAAGACAGACATGAGTGTTCAGATTGAAAAGACACTGGGTACTGAACAGGATAAATAAAAATAAGTTGACACATAGACACATTGCAGAACATGAAGGAGCAAATCACAGAAGCTTCCAGAAAGAAAAGATTACCTGCAAAGAATTGACACGCTGACAACAGCTTTCTTTTCATCAACAATATATGTAGAAGACTATTTGCAAAATTGCTGAGAGAAAGTAAATGTCAACCTGTATTCTATATCCAGCTGAATTACTTTACAAGCGTCAAGGCAAAATAGGACATTTTCAGACATATAAAGACTAATGAGGGAGTTCCCTGGTGGTCCAGTGGTTAGGACTGGGTGCTTTCACTGCCGCAGTGCAGCCAAAAAAAGAAAAAAAGACTGGTACTTCCCTGGTGGCGCAGTAGTTAAGAATCCGCCTGCCAATGCAGGAGACACAGGTTCAAGCCCTGGTCTGGGAAGATCCAACATGCCGTAGAGCAACTAAGCCCGTGCGCCACAACTACTGAAGCCCGCGCACCTAGAGCCCATGCTCCGCAGCAAGAGAAGCCACTGCAGTGAGAAGCCTGCGCACCAGAACGAAGAGTAGCCCCCGCTCACTGCAACTAAGGAAAGCCCGCGTGCAGCAACGAAGGCCCAATGCAGCCAAAAATAAGTAAAAGAGTGGACATGAATTTCATTTAAAAAAATTAAAAATAAAAAACAACACCCCTCCAAAAAACAAAGAAAAAAGAAGAAATAAAACAACAAAGGAAAGTAAATTCAAAGGGAAGGCATGAGATAAATAGATGATGAGCACAGACACTGACAAAATATGGTAGTAAATTTAATATTGATTGTAAAAACGTTTAAAATTTTTAAAATTTTAAATATAAATTTAAACAACTAAAGCTCAAACTATCCTGAACAGTATTCAAGATGTGGTGGTGTGTTCAGTAAGGAAAGTGTGATGCAGTTTTGGGGTAAGTGATTTATGAGTATAACTTGGAAGTTTCCAGCTGACTCACCAAGATTCAGTAGCTATGACATACTAAAGTGAGATGTCAGACAAAGATGTAAGTGGTTCCATAACTATAAAAAGACTTTATCCTCATCAAAGCTATATAGGTTGGGTTGTTGAAGAGAGCTGTTGTGCAGTGAATCCCTGCCACCACCCCAAATGTTACTGAGGGAGGTTTCTGCCTCTTTCCTCAAGCCTAGTGAAAGAGGTTTCAAAAGAACCCAAGAGAGCCTGATATGGGTCCCCTGCAGTAAGGGGGACATAGTGCGCTGGTGTCCTGCCTTCTAACCAGGAAGTCTTGAGGACGAAAGATAAGCTGCCGGCTGCTTTGGTGATAGAGCAAAGCGCCTAACTCATGTGTTGGGATCACTGTGTACTCTTTGGGTTTGTTAGTATGTGACCCAGATGGGTTGAGAGAGAGCAGGAGCCATTGGGTAGGTGGGTGGATTCTCTTAGAATATGTCCAGTGGGGCCACCTGGAGGGGCAAACAGACTTCACTGGAGGGTGGGCTGTCAGTGGACCACCAGATTCCTTCAGGTCTGAGGAGGGAGTGGTCACCTGCTAGAATAGCATGCAGTAGCTTGGTCAAGGGATCTGTACGTGAGAAGCCATCATTGGTTGGATTGGGGGGCCGGGTATCCAAAGAACCCTCAAAAGGACCTACTGAGGAAGATCATCCCCTTTAAAATCTGGTAGGCCCAGAGAGTGTGAAGTCAGGTTATGACTCTACTAGTCTAGTAAGAACCTTTGGGCTTGTGTCTTCCCTGTCCTTCCTCCTGCCCCACTTCAATGATGGAGAGAGTCAGAAATGGCTTCTATCCCAGCACCTAGTAAGTAAGGGGGGAGGTGAGTCCAAAAAGTAGGCCAAGGTACCCCTTGCAGGCAGGCAGCTACCTCCAGTGTGCCGCAGTGGTGGGGAAAGGGTTGGAGCAATCTTACCCTTGAAGTGGAAACTTTGGCTTTTATCATGTGGGCCTGCAGACTCTCCCGTTCTGAAACAGGCATGCATTCTTGCATTACCGGGACTCGTACTGACTGTTGCTAAGCTGGGAATGCTCCTTCCCCAGGAGGTTTCCACACCTTGCTCCTGAATAAAATAAAAGACTTGTGGGGTCTTTGCTCACATGTTCCCTCCTCAGTGAGTCCTTCCTTGACTGTCCTATTCATAACTCAGATCACCTACCCTGTTTCCCTCCAAACCTGTACCCTGCTTTATTTTTCTTCATGTTACTCATTCTGTATTTTAGCATATTATGCTGTATCATGTCACCGTTCTTTATTTATTTATTTATTTGTGGCTGCATTGGGTCTTCGTTGCTGCGCGCGGGCTTTCTCTAGTTGTGGTGGCTTCTCTTGTTGTGGAGCACAGGCTCTAGGTGCGTGGGCTTCAGTAGTTGTGGCACACGGGCTCAGCAGTTGTGGCTCGCGGGCTCTAGAGCTCAGGCTCAGTAGTTGTGGTGCATGGGCTTAGTTGCTCCACAACATGTGGGATCTTCCCGGACCAGGGCTCGAACCTGTGTCCCTTGCACTGGCAGGCGGATTCTTAACCACTGTGCCACCAGGGAAGCTCTCATATCACCATTTTGATATATAAACTCCATTGAGGGCAGAGGGTTTGTTAATTTTTTCCCCTGTTATGTCCCCAGCACCCACAATAGGAAAAAGTATTCATTCAGCAGATAATTATCAAACTGAGATTGTTTTGTGATTTAAAGAGTAATAAATAAATTTACTTATGGCTATGCCCTATGAATCCTGCTCCTTCAACTTATCTGTTAAATAAGTATTCCTTTGGTTTTTTCTTTTTTTTTTTTGGCCGCACTGTGCGGCATGCGGGATCTTAGTTCCCTGACCAGGGATCGAACCCGTGCCCCCCTGCAGTGGAAGAAGCGTGGAGTCTTAACCACTGGACCACTAGGGAATTCCCCCTTTGGTATTTTTTTAAACAGCTTTATGAGACAGAATTCATATAGTGTACAATTAATCCATTTAAAGTGTACAATTCAGTGACTTTTAGTATATTCACAGAGTTATGCAACTGTCACCATAATCGATTTTAGAATACTTTCATGACCCTTTGAAAAGAAACCCTGCACTACATAGCCGTCATCTCCCCATTCCTTCTCCAGCCCCAGGCACCCATTAATCTACTTTCTGTCTCTATAGATTTACTGATTCTGGACATTTCATATAAATGGAATCATATAATATATGGTTCTTTGTGACTGACTTCTTTCTCTTAATATAACGTTTTCAAGGTTCATGCATGTTTTAGTGTGTATCAATATTTTATTCCCATTTATGGCTTAGTAGTATTCCATTGTATGGATGTACTACATTTTGTTTATACATTTACCTGTTGATGAACATTGAGGGTATTTCCACTTTTTGACTATTATGAATAATGCTGCTAATAATTCACATACAGATTTTTGTGTGGGTACGTCTTTTCTTGGGTATATACCTAGGAGTGGAATTGCTGCGTCGCATGGTTGCTTTTGAGGAACTGCCAGGCTGTTTTCCAAAGTGGCTGCACCATTTTACATTCCCACAGCAGTGTATGAGGGTTCCAGTTTCTCTGTATGCTTGCTAATGCTTGTTACCTAACACTTGTTATTATCTGTGTTTTTGATTTTAGCCATCCTAGTGAACGTGACATGGTACTTTGTGGTTTTGACTTGCATTTGTCTAATAACTAATGATGTAGAACATCCCGTGTGCTTATTGGCCATTCCTCTGTCTTCTTTGGAGAAATATCTGTTCAGATCTTTTGCCTATTTTAAAAAATTGAGTTGTCTTGTTATTGTCCTTTGATTTTTGATTGGGATTGTTTACTTTAATTGGTTCTGGTTTGCTCCCCTTCTCTTCTTCAGGTAGAAGAAGTGAAGCGACGTCAGTACTGCCTTGCTTTCAGCTCAGCTGGAGCCCAAGCTCAGACTTATCACGTCAGCTTTGAGACTTTGGCTGAGTACCAGAGATGGCAGCGGCAGTCATCCAAGGTGATAAGCTGTCAGACGTCCTGATGTGGAGATAAGAGCAGAGAAACCCAACCGAAGTGTATTTTGAAACTGAACTTACTCCCAAGAGATCAAATTATAATTCTTAGGCACATCACTCTAGGCCTTTCTGAGTACATAGTGAATGAAATGGAATTCTCCCAGATCCTTATTATTTATATTTGCATAGTACAGAATGCTTACAAAAGTGTTTTCAGGTGCATTTACCTTTATACCATCCCTGTGAAAAAGGTAGGGCCTTGAAGGATTTGAGACACAATGAAATTCAAATGATTCTCCCTCGACCATAGTGGTCAATGATAGTTGGAGCTGTTCCCTAACTCATAGCCTAGTGCATCTGTATGTGTTTAGCACAGCTTTGATGAACCACTTTAAATTTGAACTTATTGATGGGACATGGCCTGTGATCCTGTCACAAACCATTATTCCTATATGCTGAGGATAATTGGCTTTTTAGCATAATTTCTGCTTTCCTAGCCTTTAAAGATGAAGTGCTCTAAAATTGTATTTCATTTTCCAAATTCTCTTGTTCTCCTAGCCATCTTTTCAGAATTTAAACACGTTTTTCTTTATGGAGCTAAATAGCTTCATGAAGGATTGTTTCAGTATAATGACATGCCATCAAAACATGAATGACTTTTGCAGTGATATTTTGTTTGTTTTAGACCCATTTTCACAGTCCGTGTTGCATTAGCCTACTATTATAGTAATATAAATCTTGTTTTGGCTTTATTGGATTTTCTGTACTTGTGGTGGTAATAAAATCTCTAAATAAAACTAGTTTCAATTTTAAATAGCTATTTCATTCTTCTGCCCTTGTAAAGAGAAATTAATATTTTTTGAGCACCTTTTGCATGCTAAGCAGTGGTGCTGTGTGCTTGGTTATTTAATTTTCCTCGTGACAGATGAAGAAATTGCACAAGTAAGGAACAGGGCTTGTGTGGCTGCAAAAGGCTGTGTCTTTCAGTATCACACTCCCTCCTAAAATTTTGTACGGTTACTTTGAATCATCTTAACTTCCTGCATGAACTGTTAACTTTCCATCTTTATGATTTTTTTTTTTTTTACCTTTTACTTGTAGACACTTTACAGCTTATACCTTTCTGTTTTTCAAGCATCTCGTGGTTTTAGGAAAAAGTAAAAATTAACTGTTTCTTATAAATGAATAATCGGATCTCATGACCTTTCTTTTCTTTCCCATCTTACTTTTTTAAATAAATTATTTATTTATTTTTGGCTGCGATGGGTCTTCGTTGCTGTGTGTGGGCGACCAAGGGCTACTTTTTTTTTTTTTTAATTAATTTATTTATTTTGCTGTGTTGGGTTTTCGTTTCTGTGCAAGGGCTTCCTCTAGTTGTGGCAAGCGGGGGCCACTCTTCATTGCGGTGCGCGGGCCTCTCACTATCGCGGCCTCTCTTGTTGCGAAGCACAGGCTCCAGACGCGCAGGCTCAGTAGCTGTGGCTCACGGGCCTAGTTGCTCCGTGGCATGTGGGATCCTCCCAGACCAGGGCTCGAACCCGTGTCTCCTGCATTAGCAGGCAGATTCTCAACCACTGCGCCACCAGGGAAGCCCCCCAAGGGCTACTTTTCATTGCAGTGCGCAGGCTTCTCGTTGCAGTGGCTTCTCTTGTTGCGGAGCACGGGCTCTAGGCACGTGGGCTTTAGTAATTGTGGCACACAGACTCGGTAGTTATGGCTCGCTGGCTCTAGAGTGCAGGCTCAGTAGTTGTGGCACAGGGGGCTTAGTTGTTACGCGGTCTAAGGGCTTCTTCCCGGACCAGGGCTTGAACCCGTATCCCCTGCATTGGCAGGCGGATTCTTAAGCACTGCGCCACCAGGGAAGTCCCTCCCATCTTTTTAATCGGTGCCTTTTTGTGTCCATGCCGGTCTGTCTTCTGCTGAGTGGGAAACATTTGGGGCTGGCTCAGATGGCTCTTCTCTTTGACCTTGTCCAGGTGGTGTCCCAGCGTATCAGTACCGTGGACCTCTCGTGTCACAGCCTTGAGGAGGTTCCTGAGCATCTCTTCTACAGTCAAGATATCACCTACCTCAACTTGCGACACAACTTCATGCAATTAGAAAGACCAGGGGGCCTTGACACTTTCTACAAGTATGTGGGGCATAGGTTTCCAGACTAGCTTACTAAAACTGAATCGTAATCAGTACCTATAAGCGAGCATGTTTACCATCATATATATATTTGAAAACTTCCCCTCCGTTTTGAAGAGGAAGTAAGAATTTTTTTTCACTGTTTTCCCACTCCCCTTCTCCCCTCTGTACAAGAGAAGATAGATGCACAGTTTCTGTTACGGAGGCAACATTGAGCTGCCCTTGATTTGGATAATCCTTTTCTATATGTCATTGACAGCAATGCATGATCTGCCTCCAGGGTAAATCGAGAGATTCTGTATATGGGAAGTTTTTGAATCAGAAGTTTCAAACTTAACTAACTTAAAGGAAATAGGCCAGATTTCAAGAATTCCACTCCAAGGTTAGGGCTTTTATCTTTCCTTTGCACCTGCTACTGCCAACTCTGAAGTCTTTTGTCAGCTATGAAACCTCTCTCTTCTAATAAAGGAACCATTTCAGTCCTAAGGGGCAATGACCCATGTATTTTCCCATCTCCTTTGTTAGAATATATTCCCCATTTCCACCCTCCACCCATTTCATCTCCTTCCTCCCTTTAAAAATGGACGGAAGTGAATAAATATATGGTGTAAGTAATTGTCTGGGCTTCTTGTGGGGAGGAGAGAAATTTGAAATTAAAGCGTTCAAATTATATGGTGATTAAAAAGATAAATGCACATTGAAATGACATATTTTATATACTTAGTAACTAATATTTCTAGAATAATTTTCAGAAAGCATGATTTTTACCTCATCTGAAATGTTTTGCAGAGGTTTTCAAATATAAGCCTATATTTAGTAATGAAATAATTATTTTAATAATATTGATATTTAAAAATAAAAACAAGCTATAATTTTAAGGAAGTGGGTTTCTAGTATTTCCTTCTGTTTCTATGAAAAGAGGGTTAATCTAGTTTGAGGGCTGGATTAGCAATTTGGAAGTCAAGGTGTCAAGCCGAAGGAACAATCAGTACTTAAGCTGAAATTTTGGAAGAGGAACATTAGAGAGAGGTACCAAGGATTCAAATCTAGAAGCAGATGATATAGTTCATCATCATGGAGAACACCACCTCAGCCTTACCGTCTTGTACTAGTATAGTGATGAAGTATAATACTTTTAAGTAGAATTACAGGAGTGACTCCTGTGGATCCAATTTATGATGATACTGTCTCTCAGTGAGACACTATATAGATACTTCTACAAAAAAAAATTGAAGCATTAAAAATTAGTTCACATTGCATATCATCACATTACAGTAAAACTCAGTATCACCTACATATTTTTAAGCTCTAACTGGCCCATTCATTTCAAGTGACTTTTGAGCAGCATAGTTTCAGTACAAAAAAAGAAATTGCTTATAACGGGATTTGATCTGAAGGTTTGTTAGCTATGCCTGTGTCCATGGGTTGATTAATTATTGTTAAGGCTTTCATATATTGCACGTAGAAATTTAATAAAGGAAAAGATTTGAAGCATATCAATAATGATTGATTCACTTTGATAGAAAATAATTGTACCAATGTGAGCTTTTCAAGATTTTCTGCATTTTTAAGGAGAAGAGAGAACAACTCCTGTCACACCAGACCTGGTTTTCTCAATAGCTTGCACTGGGTGTTAGTTATCTTAGTGTCTATGTCACACGTAATGTTTGGCACATACTGAGTGCTCAGTAAATATTTGCAGAACAAATTCTTTGATGGACATTTAAAATAGATCACTTTTTCATTCAGTAGTATAATGTGCCTTTGCTTTTTAGATTTTCTCAGCTTAAGGGCCTGAACTTGTCCCATAATAAGCTTGGGTCATTTCCTGTATTGTTATGTGAAATTTCTACCCTGACCGAGCTCAACCTTTCCTGTAATGGATTCCACGACCTGCCGAGTCAGATTGGCAATCTGCTGAAGTAAGTATCTGACTTTTACTAGATTTGTCTTTTCCTGTGTTTGCAGCGTAAAGAACTTGTCTGGCATTTGGAATGAAGGTAGTTCCATGAGCTCTTGCAGTGAAATAAATCATGTAATTAGGAGGATTCTGGTCAGCAGCAGCTACTTGCCTACGGAAGTAACTAGTCCCTCAGTTTTAACAGCAGAGGCTCTGATTACCCTTGATGTTAGAGGGACCATCTGTATTTCAGTTATCTTAGTAAGACTCTATTTAGATAGACTTAGGGCATTTTATCATTATTGGACTCATAATAAGTTAATGACAAGTCAAAATCCATAATTCTAGTTCCATCCATTCCAGTTAAAACTTTTCATCAAGCTTTGTTTTCTTCCTGCAGTCTTCAAACCCTCTGTCTTGATGGCAACTTTCTGACTACTTTACCTGAAGAATTGGGAAATCTGCAACAGCTTTCCTCCCTGGGTATTTCCTTCAACAACTTTAGTCAAATTCCCAAGGTTTATGAGAAACTCACTATGTTAGATAAAGTGGTTATGGCAGGAAACCAACTGGAAGTGCTGAACCTGGAGGTGCTGAACTGTATGAGCCACGTCAAACATGTGGATTTGAGGTGAGGTCATTCTTCACCGTGCCTTCCTTTCACCTGACCTGTAATGGACCCTTACGTTTTCTTTTTATGAAGACTCTTTAAAACATTAGGATTTTAGAACACTATTTTTTCAAAGCTGTAGTTAAACTTCATTTTTCACTCAATGGCAGATTATGAATGAGGTAGGTGTACCATGTGGTAGAGACAAAGGTTGTTCTGACTTACCCTCCCAGCAATGTTTTATGAGAACTCCGATTTCGTCACATTCTCATCACGTTGGATTTTAGCAGTCTTTGTTGGATTTTAGCAGTCTTTTTCCTTGCTGTCAATGTAGTAGGTAGAAAATAGTATTTCATTGTTTTAATCAGCATTTATGGTGAGTGAGTTGAGTGTCTTTTTGTATGCTTTTGGTAGTTTGTACTTTTCCATAAACTTGACCGTTTTTCTATTGAATCATTGGGTTGCTTCTTGATATCTATTGTATTATGATTAAAATGTTAACAGTTTTACTACTAACAATTTTTAATAAGTGTTTATTCCCTTTTTAAATATATTATTTATTATTTATTTATGATCTTTTCCTAAAGGAAGCTAGTAAAACACACATACTGGATGTTCTGTCATTTACACTAAGTCATCGATGTCCCTTATAAAGACATAGTAACAGAAAAATTTATTGAAATGCAGGGAAATGAACAGGCCTGCATGCATTAAATCAGATACTTATATAGAAGAGAACAAAGAAGTCATCATTTTCTATAATTTTCCCTTGAGCTATTCCATATTGATACAGAGTGTTTTCCTCTTCATTAATTGAGGTAATGGGAATCTTAGCACTAGAGAGAGTAGGCAGAGCAGTGAGAGGAAGTATGACTGCTTCCTCTTGCTCTTACCCGGTACTTACTCCGTGAATGCCTTGCTACTCCTAACCCGACAAGTTATGTTCATCTTCTTGTTCCTTTGTCCTATTCCTTCATCCCTACCTAATGTACTTGGTATTTGGGTGCAAGTTTTAAACTGTTTGTGGGCATGGTCCCCTTTCCTTTCTCTTCATTTAATTTGTACATGTATTTGCCAATCTGGATTGTCTCTAACTTAGTTTATAAACAAAGAACTCAAGGTACAGCTGTCTGTGGTTATTTACTTAGTACCTTGCAAAATGAGGCAAGTAGTGAAATTCTTATGCTGTTTAGGAAGGGGAAAAAAGGATCATACTTCTATTTTTCTTTTGGTCAGCACATTTAGTAAAATTTATTTCTAATGATTTTCTTATTTCTGAATATTAAGGATGAACCATCTGAAAACCATGGTTGAGAATCTGGAGGGAAATAAGTACATCACCCACATGGATCTGCGGGACAATCAGCTGACTGACTTAGATCTTAGCTCCTTGTGCAACTTGGAGCAGCTGCATTGTGAGCGGAACCAGCTGAGGGAGCTGACGCTCAGTGGCTTCTCCCTTCGAACTCTCTTTGCCAATTCGAACAGTGAGTTCTCTACCCAGTCTCCTGTATTTCCTCTTGTAGCTCTTGTCCAAGCTTTCCAAGAACAATGGCATCTGGGGTGTTCCTCAGGTACTCTGCGAAGCGGAGTTTGAGGTTCATTGAGACCTAGCTTTAAGTTTGCCATCAACACTTCAGTGGTTGAGATATGCATAAAAAGACATTGCAGGACAATTTGAGATTCACTAAGTGAACATAATAATAAGAGGCATTCTGCAAAATGACAGGAAGTTAGGAGGGTGGGCAAGCACATTCAAAAGAGAATATCAGTGATGGTCTAAAACAAGGGTTGTTCAGTTACAGCCCAGGGGCTAAATCTGGCCTACCATCTGTTTTTGTATGGCTCACGTGGAATGGGTTTTTACAGTTTTTAATGGCTGGGTTTTAAAAAAATCAAAGGAAGAATAATTTTGACATGGGAAAGTTATATGAAATTCAAATTTAGGTGAATAAAGTTTGATGGGCACACACCCACATTCATTTGTCTACATGTTAACCACTCTCACGCTACAGTGGCAAAATTGAGTAGTTTTAAGAGAGACCACGTGGCCCACAAAGGCCAAAATATTACTAAATATTTAGCCCTTTACAGAAAAAGTTTGCCAATCTCTAGTCTAAAACCTTGTGCTGCCTCAGTTCCAGAATGAGAAGCCCTTCATTTCAATAGTGATTTGTTTGCCCCAGGAATATTTTTCAATGTAAAAGGCCACATATTTGTTGAGGCCCTTCTGTTTATAGAGAGTTCTTCTTTACCAAAGAAATATACAGTTGACCCTTGAACAACATGGGTTTGAGCTGCACAGGTCCCCTTTTTTTGGTTTGTTTGTTTTGTTTTGGCCACACTGTGCACCTTGCAAGGTCTTCGTTCCCCAACCACAGATTGAACCCGGGCCACAGCAGTGAAAGCACTAAGTCCTAACCACTGGACCGCCAGGGGATTCCCTGTACAGGTCCACTTAAACATGGATTTTTTTCAATAGTAAATACATTTGACCCTTGAATAATGCAGGGTTTAGAGGCACCAATCCTCTAAACAGTCAAAAATGGAAGTATAACTTTACAGTTAGCCCTCTGTATCCGTGATTCCGTATCTGTAGATTCAACCAACCACGGATTGTGTAGTATTGTAGTATTTATATATATATATATATATATATATAAAGTTATATGTGGATTTTCAGCTGCACAGAGGGTCAGTGCCCATAACCCCCACATTGTTCAAGGGTCAACTGTACCTACTTTTTCTGTGTTTAAAGAAGTAAAGGAAAAGATGTTTAATTTCACTAAGTATCAGTCAAAGAAATGCAAATTTAGATAATACCATTTTATACTCATCATATAAAAATAATAACACTGTGGCTTCCCTGGTGGCGCAGTGGTTAAGAATCTGCCTGCTAATGCAGGGGGCACGGGTTTGAGCCCTGATCTGGGAGGATCCCACATGCTGTGGAGCAACTAGGCCCGTGAGCCACAACTACCGAGCCTGCGCATCTGGAGCCTGTGCTCCGCAACAAGAGAGGCCGCGATAGTGAGAGGCCCGTGCAACAAAATGAAGAGTGGCCCCCGCTTGCCACAACTAGAGAAAGCCCTCGCACAGAAACGAAGACCCAACACAGCAAAAATAAATAAATTAATTAATAATCTCCTACCCCCAACATCTTTAAAAAAATAAATAAATAAAACAATAATAATAACAGTAAGTGCTTACTGAAGATGTGGAGAAGCAGTACCTCTCCAACGCTGCCAGGGGGAGTTGGTAAAACCAACACGGAGAGCAGCATGATGGTGTCAGAGAAGACAAAGATACACAGAGCCCGTGTTCTAGCAGCTCCCCTGCTTGGAATATCTCCCAGACACTCACATAGGAGATGTGTCCTAGAATGTTTATCACAGCATTGTATGTTATAGTGAAAATAACTAAAAATATGACTATAAATAGGAAAATGGATAAAACAGTGATAAATTTATATAATAGAATATTGCACAGCAATGGAAATGAATGTACTAGAGCTTTGTGTATTAGTATGGATAAATCTCAGAAATCTTCTGAGCAGGAAAAGAAAGCGCATGTTTTGATATCCTGCAGTGAAAGGAATGGTCCTCTTGAAACAGAAAGGTACCTATGAATTACTCATTCTAAAAGCCTGTGGATTAGACTTCCCTGGTGGTGCAGTGGTTAAGAATCCACATGCCGTGGAGCAACTAAGCCTGTGTGCCACAACTACTGAGCCTGAGCTCTAGAGCTGGCGAGCCACAACTACTGAGCCCATGTGCCACAACCACTGAAGCCTGTGCACCTAGAGCCCAAACTCCACAGCAAAGAGAGGCCACCGCAGTGAGAAGCCAGCACACCACAACGAAGAGTAGCCCCCCCACTCACTGCAACTAGAGAAAGCCCACATACAGCAATGAAGACCCAAAGCAGCCAAAAATGAATAAATTTATTAAAAAGAAGAAAAAAAAATAAAAGCCTATGGATTTACAATGAGATACGAAGATCTCTTACCCCTCCATGGTGTTATTTCCTTTTTGCCAATTGGAATCAGATAATTCTTGGTTTTTCTGACTTCTTAAAATTTTGTTCCCCTTTTTGATACCCTTGTGACCCATATTGGTCTGATTTTTGGAGAGATTAATTATATTCAGGATTTTATTACTTCGACTGGTGGTCAAGAATAAACATAAATGAGGTTTGCTTTCTTATTTTTAACACTATGTTAGGTATTCAGGAGTCAGTGGTTGAGTACACTATGATAGTTATATCAAATTTTAAAACACATGAAAACGTTGTTTGCTTAGCTCTAAGTATGCCATGACAGTATGAAAGAATCCATGGGAATGATAAAAATCATATTCTGGATGGTGTTTGGCTCTTGGTATGTGCAGCGTTTTAATTCTTTAAAAGGCTGAAGCATATAAGGCAGAATGTCACGATTTGTTAAAAGCTAGGTGATGGGTGAAAGAATATTCATTACTTTATTCCCTTTTCTGTATCGCTAAAATATATTATTAGGATAAAAGAGAGTTAAGACTTCTCTTTTCATTGCCTTTTATCATGTTATAGAAGCTTCAAATCGTAGCTTAGATTAATTGTTAGGGCTGTTTGTTGAGTCGTGCTGTTTATACATGTTGTGAGATGGTAGTAGTTCTTTTGTCCTGGAAATACTTATTATCAGGCCTAATCTGTATTCTTAAAGTATCTAGAGACTCTGAATGACTGGCCCTCTGGGAAAAGACCCATTGACATACATGTAGGCCTTCTTAGTAGATTCTGTCACAGTACTGTTAATGGGGCTTGTTCTGTTCACAGAATCCTTAAATTGTACAACCTGGAAGAATTCACTTCAACACTTGAAGTTTTGACACCTCAAAAGTAAAGAACTCAGCTTTCAGCTTCACAAAAGAATTTTTCCAAATGGCCAGTTAGCATAGGGAAGTGCCATCACACCAGGGTCATCAGGGATATTCAAATTGGAATCTCAGTGTGACACCACTGCACACCTACCAGAATGACTAGAATAAAAAGGCTGAAAATACCAGTGCCAGTTGTTGGGTGTGTAAATTGTTGCAACCACTTTGGAAAACTGCATGGTAGTATCTCCTGAAGTCACACATATGCACCCACTGCACTCGGCAGTTCTCTCCTAAGCTTGTATTCAACATAAATGCTCATGTTAGTCCACAAAAGACGTGGACAAAATGTTCACAGAGGCACTATTCATAGTAACCCCCAGCTAGACGAGACTTAAAATGCCCATCAACTCTACAATGGGTAAATAAATTGTGGTATATTCCCAGGAAAAATTTTATACAGCCATGAGAATGGATGAACTACAACCATATTCACTAATATGAACAAATATCTCACAAGCACAATGTTCAGTGATGAAGCCAGACAAAAAAATTATATATAATGATGTGTATATTTATATAAATAGGTAAAAGTAATCTGTATGCGGGGTAGTGACTAGAGGGAGGGAGGATGAGGGGAAGTTTCCGGGCAGCTGGTACTGCTCTGTTTCTTGATCTGCCTACTGGTTATACCAGTGTGTTCTTTTTGTAAAAATTCATTGATCTGTACATTTAAGATTACTGTACTTTTATTTGTTTTGCTTTAATTAAAAATTAAAATGTTGGGCTTCGCTGGTGGCGCAGTGGTTGAGAGTATACCTGCCGATGCAGGGGACATGCGTTCGTGCCCCGGTCCACTGCGCCACCAGGGAAGCCCCCCCACTGTTTTTTTAAAATTTTAATAGATCTTTATTGGAGTATAATTGCTTCACAATACTGTGTTAGTTTCTGTTGTACACCAAAGTGAATCAGCCATATGCATACACATGTCCCCGGATCCCCTCCCTCTTGAGCTGGGACGAAGTGAGAGTAGCATCAACATATATACACTACCGAATGTAAAGTAGCTAGTGGAATGGGCTTCCCTGGTGGCGCAGTGGTTAAGAATTCACCTGCCAATGCAGGGGACTTGGGTTTGAGCCCTGGTCCAGGAAGATCCCACATGCTGCGGAGCAGCTAAGCCCGTGCGCCACAACTACTGAGCCTGCACTCTAGAGCCCGCGAGCCACAACTACTGAGCCCACATGCCACAACTACTGAAGCCCACGCACCTAGAGCCCGTGCTCTGCAACAAGAGAAGCCACCTCAGTAAGAAACCCATACACCACAATGAAGAGTAGCCCCCGCTCACCACAACCAGAGAAAGCCTGTGTGCAGTAACGAAGAACCAACACAGCCAAAAATAAATAAATAAAAAGTAGCTAGTGGGAAGCAGCAGCGTAGCACAGGGAGATCAGCTCAATGCTTTGCGATACCCACTGGTTTTCATCTTTAGTTCATGTCAGTAGGTGACATCAGTTTTCATCAGCTTTCCCCCTTGTTTACTCTCAGTTACATTCTTCTTTGGAGAACGTCACTAACACCAGTCTGTTTTCTGATTAGGGCTGGCAGCAGTGAATGTCTATCCAGTACCCAGTCTGCTCACTTCTCTAGAACTCTCCCGGTGAGTGTGTCTCATGAGGATGGTGCTTGTTTGATTCCTGTATTTAAGAGATGTCTGTGGGCACTTTGACAGTTTTGAGGTACAAGAAATGCTAATACATTGAAATATTTGGATAACCAGGAGAAGAGCAAAGGTTGAGTGGAAGAATAAGTTTAATGGCCATGCTATTTAGATAAAGGAAGGTCCTCTTGAGACAGGAAGGTGCTTCTGAATTACTTGTTGTTAAAGTTTGTGGATTTAGCATGAGTTGTAAACAAAGACCTATTTCCCCTCTATGGCCTTGATTTTCTTTTTCCAATTGGAATCAGATAATTCTTGGTTTTTAGTGACTTAAAATGTTGTTCTCTTATTTTTTTGATACTCTTGTGACCCATGTTAATCTGATTTTCAGAGAGACATTAATTATATTCAGGATTTTATTTCTTCTGTTGGTGGTCAAGAACAAATGTAAATGAAGTTTGCTTTCTTTCCTTCCTTCATTTATTTTTTTATTTTTTTATTTTTTATTTTTTTGCATTACACGGGCCTCTCACTGTTGTGGCCTCTCCAGTTGCGGAGCACAGGCTCCGGACACGCAGGCTCAGTGGCCATGGCTCCACGGCATGTGGGATCTTCCTGGACACGGGGCACGAACCCGTGTCCCCTGCATCGGCAGGCGGACTCCCAACCACTGCGCCACCAGGGAAGCCCCTTCATTCATTTTTAATACTGTGTTAGGCATTCAGCAGTCACTGGCTGAGTTTTACAGTCTAGTGGAGAGTTTGACCATCAAATAAGCAGTAAGAGGGCAGCATCATAAGTGCTGGGAGTATAGAGTGCTAGAAGGGCAGTGGACAGAGTCCTATATGCTCAGGGTTTTCATAAAGATTAAAGGAGGGCTTCCCTGGTGGCGCAGTGGTTGAGAGTCCGCCTGCCGATGCAGGGGACACAGGTTCGTGCCCCGGTCCGGGAAGATCCCACATGCCATGGACCGGCTGGGCCCGTGAGCCATGGCCGCTGAGCCTGCGGGTCCGGAGCCTGTGCTCCGCGACGGGCGAGGCCACAACAGTGAGAGGCCCGCATACCGCAAAAAAAAAAAAAAAAAAAAAAAAAGATTAAAGGAGACAGTAAATGCAAAATATGTAGCATAGTGCCTGGCATAAAATGAGTCTCTCAAGAAATATTAGCTGTGATAGCCAGGTTTCTTTTTGTTGTTATTACTTCATCATCATTATTATTAAGCTATTGTTCTAGATTCCCTTCCATCCATTTCTTTCTGTCATATCTTCCCATCAAAACCCCAACATGGATCAAGCCTAAGATTGACCTTCCCCACTGAGCTTGATCGTTACTGAAGATCATGTATTTAGTTTCCAGCCTCATCTGGAGTCTCTTCTGCCGTCAGCTCCTTCGAGTGTCCTGACATCTGTTCCAAATTGCTTGGCTCCTCTCAGACCCACTGCCCCTCATCTCCTTGGCTCTAGGGCTCAGTTTCCCACTTGACTGGGAAAATAGAGGTCATCATGGGTGATCTCTCTCAGCTTCCTACCCCCTTGCGTAAATTCATGTAGATTCATATCCATTCTCTGCTTCTTTCCTCTGTTCAAGGCCAGTCCAGCCATCTGTGCCTTTGATCCCGTGCACTCCCACTGCTCTGGACCTTGCTCTGTTAGTCATCCTCCTCCTCTCACGCGTGTTCGGTGTTTTTCTTTTTTTTTTTCTTTCTATTTTTTTTTTTTTTTTGTGGTACGTGGGCCTCTCACTGTTGTGGCCTCTCCCGTTGCGGAGCACAGGCTCTGGACGTGCAGGTTCAGCGGCTATGGCTCACGGGCCCAGCCATTCCACGGCATGTGGGATCTTTCCGGACCGGGGCATGAACCCGTGTCCCCTGCATCGGCAGGCGGACTCTCAACCACTGCGCCATCAGGGAAACCCCGGTGTTTTTCTTTTCCTTGGTCTCTACGCACACTCATAGCTCCTGTCTTAACAAACAAAAAATGTTCCCTTTATCTTGCAACCCCTCTAGTTATTGTCTGTCCCCTCATCCCTCTCATCCCTTTTTGTCCAAATTTCTCGAGAATTATCTGCATTTCTTGGCTCAGTTTCCTGTTCCCCTTTGTTCACCCCACCACAACTGGCTTTAGATCTCCTCTTGTGGAACTTTTCTGTACTGACACTGTTCATCTTGTTTTCTTTTCTTCAAATGTGCTGTTTCCTTGGCTGGTTGAGACAGTGTGATTTTTTTTCATGGTGCTCTAACCATTTCTTCTGTCTCTTCCTTAACTCCTCTTTCTTAGCTAGCCCTTTAAGGGTCACTTATCCCAGGGTCTGTCTTTGGCCCACTGCACTTCTCATTTGACATGATCTCATTTACTCCCAGGATTTCACTACACTTCAATGTCAGCATCACCCAGGTCACCAGTCCAGACCTCCTTCCTTCAGCCTCAGACCTGTATGTCCAATTTCATAACAGATGTTTCAACCTGCACTTCTCCAAGTACCTCACATACGTGCAAAATTAAATTTATTATCCACCCCTCCACCTGCACTTTAACTTGTCTTGTTTTCTGTTTTGGCTTTTGGCATTATCATAAGACAATCAGATCCAGATGGACACCACTGAAATTCATGATTCCCAACCTCATTTGGAGCTTATCAGTCCTTTCTCTGGATAGGATTTCCTCTCTGGTCATCTAGGCTAAAGCCTAAATATCACTTTTGATTATTCCCTCTGCTCCACTCACATGTCTAATCCATCTCCAAGTCATTTTGATTTTTGTCTCCTACATGTTTCTGGCGCCCCTCCCCTCCCTTGCAGGTGTGTTACTACTCATTGAGGCCCTCATCATTCCCCGTCTGGAATTCTCTAACAGCTTCCTGATTACGCTTCCTTTTACTAATATCACCACCTCAACCAGACCTCCGTGTATGCACAGAGTGAGCTCTTAAAAGTGCAAAACTGCTCACCAACCCTTCAGCGATCCCCCTACGTCTGCAGGATAAAGTCACAACCTCCTAGACATGATCAGATATTTCTAGCCTTGTTTCTTCCCACTCTGTGCTCTGTATTGGCTGTTCCAGCATCACCAAACTGCTTATTATTCTTTTCTTGCCTCTGTGCTCTAGCTCATGTTGTCACCTCTTGCTTGGAATGTCCACCACACCTCCGGTGTGTACAGCATTCTTCAAATTCTACCCCAGGTGTCATATTTCTTAGGGAGCTTGCCTTGAAGTGCTTCCTTCACTAAGCAGTCAGAGCAGCATCTGCATTTCTCTTACAGCACTTATTTCATTCTGCCTCATCCTGTTGATCCATTGATCAGTAGGTACTTTGAGGCTTGGGGAAGCTAAGTAACATCTGAAAATAAATTCCTGTGACTGAATATCTGCCCAGTGCTCTACTAAATATTTGAATTCACATTCTAAATGATCCGGAACTTTTCCCCCACTAGTTATCTTTTGTCCTTACTTCCTCACTTTTATTCATTTGGTTCATTTTTTCCCAGAATTTGCTTCTCTTCTCCCCGCATCATTACTTGAGGAAATCCTACTCATCTTTGAAGATTTGTTTAAAATGCCTCTTCTTCCTTTAAGGCTTTCCTCCCCATCGCATCCCACCCCACCACCTATGTGCTTTTCTATACCGAAGGCCTTTGTATCTTCATTGAACCCACAGCACACATGATCCAGTGTCAGGTATGTATGTGTGCTTGTCTCTCTCCACATTTCTATCAGCAACATTCATTGAGCACCTACTGTATTCCAGGCAGTGCATCAGGGATGCCTTGGGGATAGTGCTTCTGCCCTCAGGGAGCTCAGGGGACCATTAACGATACATCACAGACTAGTGAAATGGAATGAGTTCCACTCATCATCTTAAATGATGCCTTTTAATTATTTATTTTCTGCAGAAACCTGCTTGAGTGTGTCCCTGACTGGGCCTGTGAAGCAAAGAAGATAGAAATATTAGATGTGAGCTATAATCTCCTGACAGAGATTCCTATGAGGTATGCATGTGTTAACATATATATTATGTGTGTATTTAATTAATTTTCCTATATTTGGGTTGCCTTTCAAGGGTACTTAGATTCATTTGTTCAGTAAATATTGAGTATCTGCTAAGTGCAGGGCAGCGTGAGTGCCGTAAGGAATACAGTAACGCCTAAGGCATAGTCTTGGCCTGCAAGGAACTTTGTAAACAGATAGTCGGGGTGACTTGTGCAGAGATAACTGTGATAAAATGTAACAGGAGTTGCTGGCATAGGTCGGTGACATGATAGTGATAATAGAACATTTGTATTGGATGATTTATTATGAACTGGGCAATGTTCTAAGTCCTTCACTTTCATTGTCTTATTTAATCCTATATCAACCTTATTTTATAAGTGCTGTTATCCTCCTCTTACAAATAACGAAACTAAGGCTTAGAGTGATTAGGTAATTTGTCCAACATTGCACTTAACTAGGAAGTGATAGGAGCTGGCATTTGAATGGAGTAGTCATTCTTACTCCAAAGCCTCACTCTTGGTCACTACACTATATAAATAAAATGTTTTAGAAATTCAGAACTTTGGATAATTAGAGAATGCTTCATGGAGAATGCCTGTTTGAATTGACCTTTATAAGATGGTAGGATTTCTGTATGTGGAGGGGAAAGATAAAGGTGTTGGGAGGTGTGTGGGGGGTATATTAAAAAGTACCAAGATGTGAAATGTGAGGTTATTACTTAGTGGAGTCTTTAAAAGTAAATTAGAGCGTTTGTAGCATAGTAGGTATGAACACAGCTTTGGAGTCAGACTTTAATCCAAATCCTGACTATACCATTTACTACATTTGATGTGAGATCTTTGGCAAATCAAAGTCACTTAACCCTTCTGGACCTAATAGTTAAATGTCCTGGCACATTTTAAGAATTGAATAAGGAGTAGTGTTTGTTATAATAAATTTTGTTATTAGCTTATTATAATCAATTATATTAATAATAATAAATTCACTGAATTTTTGGTGCTGTCTAGACCTAAAATCTAAATTGATTTATTTCACAAATTGCCTTTTTTGTTTAGATGTGTTCTGGGCTGTGTGCTTTCATTAATTCACCTTTTCCCAGAATAACCTGAATGACTTCCTGGTGGGTGGTGGGTAAACATATGGTTGTGGCTGCTTTCTTGGCTCAGGCACCTGTCAGTGATTATACTGTCTAGAAGAACACAGTTCTATTAGTTTACTGATTTTAGTTAAATAGCCAAGGGAAGACTCAGGAAGAGAGATTTAAGTCTGTTTTTTGTTGTTGTTTCTTTATGCTCTATCCCCTAGAATCCTTAGTAGCTTGAGTCTTAGAAAACTAATGGTGGGACACAATCACGTGCAGAACCTTCCAGCACTGGTGGAGCACATCCCTCTCGAGGTGTTGGATATTCAGCATAACTTGCTCACCAGGCTGCCAGATACCCTCTTCTCTAAGGCCTTAAAGTAAGTACTATAGATTTTATTTAGAAGAGCAGAATCATTGGCTAAGCAAATTGCCTGGACTTGTCATTGGAGTAACATTTGGAACCATCTTTCCAGAGTGTTTATCTCATAATCCAGCTATGGGTGAAGACTTACTTGCAATTTGTATGGAATAAAATATGACACTGTCTTTTTTTATATAAATTTATTTATTTATTTTTGGCTGTGTTGGGTCTTCGTTGCTGTGCGCAGTCTTTCTCTAGTTGTGGCGAGCGGGGGCTACTCTTCGTTGCAGTGCACAGGCTTCTCACTGCAGTGGCTTCTCTTGTGGAGCACAGGCTCTAGGCGTGCAGGCTTCAGTAGTTGCAGCTCACGGGCTCAGTAGTTGTGGCTCACAGGCTCTAGAGCACAGGCTCAGTAGTTACGGCACACGGGTTTAGTTGCTCCATGGCATGTGGGATCTTCCCGGACCAGGGCTCGAACCTGTGTCCCCTGCATTGGCAGGCAGGATTCTCAACCACTGCGCCACCAGGGAAGCCCCATGACACTGCCTTATGAGGCAGGAATCTTCAACTCAAAAGGTGAAATAACCATCAAGTACTTAGGAAGTTACAGTGTTGTAAACAGATTTAAAGAGCTTAGGAAGGTTCAGGCTTTCATCTCAGAAAGCCTCTTTGATCTTCAAATAGAGGTTTCAGCATTCTGATACAGCTTCTTTGGGTACTTTTCAGCTTTTGCATTAGGAGAAAAGGGCATACCACTGAAGTTAATTTAGTTTTTGCTTCTAGCTTTGCTAAGCTATCATTAAGTTATATTCTTTATTTGCAGGGCTTTTTTACTCCCTACTTTGAAAATTGTGCATTTAAAGTTATGTTGTTCCAAAAGTATTATTTACTTTCTTATTGTAAATTAACAAATAGATAGTGTGTATTCCTATTTTAATACCTGTAATCAGGTTTATTTAACACATATGTCACCATTAAATGAAAATTCGTTTTTAATTATAGTTGTCTGCAATATGGAGAAGGCAGTATTGTTCAATTTTGACATGGAGAAAGCAGAGAGAAACAGTGGTAATTTAACTAGGCTGGCAGGAGGCATACAAAAAGCATTTAGCCCACAAGTGTCTGGCTTGTTCTCTGGCGGTTAATACATCTCTTAATGTGTAATATGCTTGGTTGGAGTTTCCTAAAAATAAAATCTTTGGAAATTCTAAAAAAACATTTGAGGGAAATTTTCTTTTTGGAAAGTTTTAGTGCAGTAACATTTGTTAATTAATAAGTATTTGTTAGTAATGCATTACAGTGCATTTCATTCTGATGACAGTCTGAATAAAATTAGTTTCAGCTCTAGAATCTTTAGTAAGGAAGTTACCTAGCAGTTGTAGCAAATTGTCAATAATATTCAATACTAACTCTACATGGAGCACTTTTGGGATATATGAAGACACAAACAGACACACAGTTCCCTCCACAACTTAAAAGCTAATAAGCAGTGTGGATCATACAGTTTGAAGAAGACTTAAGAACACAGAAGTTTAATAATATTAGCTGCCTTTTACTGAGCATGTTCTGTATGTACCAAACACCATGCTAGGCAGATTTTTTAAATCATACCATGTTTTACTTCTTAGATTGGTGAAGTTTAAAATGAATTATGATACTCAGTGTTGACAAAGGTGTGAGCAAATGCAATCCTATATCCTTCTAGTGGCATAGCCTTTCTGAAGTATACTTTGATATAGCCTTTCTGGGGCTCATTTTGGCAGTATATGTATAAAAATCTTAAAGATATATGTAGCCTTTGACCCCACATATTCTGCTTCTGGGAATATGGCCTAAAGAAATAATTGGGTGAGGACTCGAAGGTGCTCATTATAATGTCTATGATGGCAAACAATTGGAAACAGCCGATATGCCCATTATTAAGGGATTATAGGGGGATTGGCTAAATAAATATGATCCTGTTAAAATCAGACAAACATTTTTCTAAAGGGTGTCCTCACAGTTCATATATTTGTGCACGTGATACTCAACAACATCGTTTCGGTGGTCATGCAGACAGTAAAACATGAAGCTGGGTTAGAATTAGACCACCACAGAATCCCGGGAACACAGCTAAGCCTGCATTCTTCCCTCTCTACTTGGCTTACATGAGTTGAGTAGAAGGAATTCTGTTTGGGTAGGATCAGTCAGAGAAAACTACCTGGAGGAAATTACTTTTGTCATGAGTTTGGGAGCACGGAAAGGCAGTGTTACATACTGAGATGGCATGATGGTTTCCACACAAGAAGGCACCCAGTAGCCATAAAGGAAATGATTTGCATGTGTTCTATCAGTCTCAGATACTTGAATGCATCTGCAAATAGTCTGGAGTCTCTGCCATCTGCTTGCACTGGGGAGGAGAGTCTGAGTGCACTGCAGCTGCTCTACCTGACCAACAACCTCCTGACGGATCAGTGTGTGCCCGTCCTGGTGGGGCACCCGCACCTGCGAATCTTGCATCTTGCAAACAACCAGCTACAGACTTTTCCCGCAAGGTAAGTAAACGCGAACTTTGATCGTATCAGATACATAACATGATTCTGCATTTGTCAGACTACATCACAGCTATTTTACTGGGTACTCTTGCTTTATGTTGACCGACTTACTGGTGCTGTGATTCTGCTACTTGAATGGGAAAATCTGTACCCTGTTGTTAAGTATCAGTAACCACAGACGTTGTGGTTAAAATGTGTTTAATTCTTAGTTCTATTTACTTAATAGTGGACTAAGAATTTTCAACCTAGAAAGTACAGGCTTATGAAATAAATTAAATTCTGAAGATAATTCTTTTCTCCTGTCAGCACTGATATATAAAATACTGTTGAGTCCATTAATTTGTTCATTTTTATATATGTTGAATGCCTACTGTATGTCAAGTACTATGTAAGTACTAGGGAAACAGTGGTGATTAAGTTACAGTCTCTTTCCTCAAGGAACTTGCAGTCAAATTAGGAAAATAGACAAGTATATAGGCAGTTGCAATGCAGTGTAATAAATGCGGGATGTTAAAGATATGCACAGGTAGCTGCACTGAAGAGATGAATAGTATTTAGTCAGGCTACATTTATAAGACATAAGAGGGATATTTCGTGTTTTCAACTTTTTTCTTTTACTTTTTTTTTAACGTCTTTATTGGAGTATAATTGCTTTACAATGGTGTGTTAGTTTCTGCTTTATAACAAAGTGAATCAGCTATACATATACATATATCCCTTGTCAAAGTTTTAAACAGTGTCAGTGGAGAAATAAGTATCTTCCAAAATACATTTGATTAAAGAAAATTCTTTTTAGAAAATTTGACACCAGAGGCACTTCCCTGGTGGTCCAGTGGCCAAGACTTCATGCTCCCAATGCAGGAGGCCTGGGTTCGATCCCTGTTCAGGGAACTAGATCCCACATGGCACAATTAAGAGTTCGCATGCCACAACTAAAAGATCCCACATGCCACAACTGCAGATCCCACTCGTGGCAACGAAGATTTCGCATGCTGCAACTAAGACCCAGCACAGCCAAATAAATATATTTTTAAAAAACTATTAGGGGCTTCCCTGGTGGCGCAGTGGTTGAGGGCCCGTCTGCTGATGCAGGGGATGCAGGTTCGTGCCCCGGTCTGGGAGGATCCCATGTGCTGCGGAGCAGCTGAGCCTGCGCGTCCGGAGCCTGTGCTCTGCAACGGGAGAGGCCACAGCAGTGAGAGGCCCGCGTACCGCAAAAAAAAAAAAAAAAAAAAGAAACCCAAATTATTTAAAAAAAGAAAATTTGACACCAGAAAAATCCATTCATACCATAAAGGTAGTCATTAAAAATCATGTTTTCAAAAACTAAGAACATAGGGAAATGACATTTGATATAATTTGAATGAAAAGAAAACTATTTTTATTCTAATTTTGTTTCACAGATTTTCTTAGAAATGTGTTAAAGTTGAAAAACTTAGAAATTGTAATTTTTGTGATTATAAAATGAGATATTTGGAGATATTGATTGCTTCCTTGAAAGAATTTGAACAATGGCTTTTATTAATTAATTTTTTTTCCGGCTGCATTGGGTCTTCATTGCTGCGCGGGGGCTTTCTCTAGTTGTGGCGAGCGGGGGCTACTCTTTGTTGCAGTGTATGGGCTTCTCATTGTGGTGAGGTGGACTCTCAACTACTGCACCACCAGGGAAGCCCTGTGGTGGCTTCTCTTTGTTGTGGAGCATGGGCTCTAGGCATGCGGGCTTCAGTAGTTGTTTCTCGCGGGCTATAGAGCACAGGCTCTGTAGTTGTGGCACATGGGCTTAGTTGCTCCAGGGCATGTGGGATCTTCTTGGACCAGGGCTTGAACCTGTGTTCCCTGCGTTGGCAGGCGGATTCTTAACCACTGGGCCACCAGGGAAGTCCCTGAACAATGGCTTTTAAAGTGAATACAGAATCTTAATTTCAGGATGTGATAGATCTCTTGAAATCCTATCAGATTCATTCAGTTGGCCTCAAATATGTTCATATAAAGTGCAAATGATGCACCACTGACAAGTTACATTAGTTTATGAAGCTGTTGGGAGATACCAGATGTAATACTCTGAAACTAATGAATTCCACCTAATTTGACAACACTCTTACTGTTGGAGTGGTCAAAAGCAGGCTGATAGAAAACTTAAAACACACCTAAGAATATGAAATTAAGAAGTTAGAAGTAAGGACAAGAATCAACAGGAGATTACACAAAATTAGAATAATCTGAATACAGATGATAAGACTAAATGGGTGACTTCCCTGGTGGCGCAGTAGTTAAGAATCCGCCTGCCAGTGCAGGTGACACTGGTTCGAGCCCTGGTCCAGGAAGATCCCACACGCCGCAGAGCAACTGAGCCCGTGTGCCACAACTACTGAGCCCATGAGCCACAACTACTGAAGTCTGTGCGCCTAGAGCCCGTGCTCCGCAGCAAGAGAAGCCACCACAATGAGAAGCCTGCGCACCACAACGAAGAGTAGCCCCCGATCGCCACAACTAGAGAAAGCCCACGCGCAGCAACGAAAGACCCAACAGAGCCTAAATGAATGAATGAATGGAATTTAGAGCATTATTTTAAAGAAAATGTATGTTCCGTACTGAATAATAAATCTCCTGTCAAGTTATCTCCTGAACAGTGTTATAATTGCATAGGCACAATCCCAAGTCTTCTGTTTCATTTGGACTATTTTCAGAATCTAGCACAGTTTGGGGTGCTAAGTAAGACACTGAATGAGATACAGATGCTACGTTTCTATCAATAAGTCAGAAGGATCCAAGTACGGAATCGTGTAAGAGAAAAGCGTGAAATTTGGACATGGGAATATTTTTAAAATATATTATTAAGTAAAAAAAAAAAAAAGCAAGTTATTATACAATACATATGATAAGCATCATGTTTTAATTCGAAACATAGAGTTTCATGCCAAGACTACTCTCCACCAAATTGTTGTCAGAGATTAAATCTGGTTGTGGGATTAAAAGGTTTTTTTTTTTTATGTTCATCTTTATTTTTCAATTTTTTTCAGTGAGTATTACTATTGTAATAAGAAAGAAAACCATTTTACTGAGCTTAATTATTACAAAGTATTTATCAATTTTCTAGCAATGAAAATTATCAATATTTATGATATATGAAAAGGCCAGGATATAAATTTCATGTAAAATCTACATATGAAAAATTTAGCAGGAAATTCAGCAAAATGAAAATAGTAATTTTTTCAAATTGGTATTATCGTTGATTTATTTTCTTTATTTTCTAAACTTTCTATGTTACAACAGTTTATTATTTTTACAGTGTTTAAAATTGGTAGATAAAGAGAAATCAGAGCAATTTGTAATAATCTGATAAAGGTGTTAGGCCATCTTAAGATGTTTTGCTTACTGTGTAGAAAACTTTGCTTACTGGAGGGACAGTGTGAATCGCCTGCATCACAGTCCCTAGCACAGCGCTGTGTGCATTCTAGGCACTTGATAAATGTTTACTGAAGGTGGATTATGTTATGAATAACTGTAGAAATTTATTATTTTTTTAAATTTATTTTATTTAGTTAGTTTTGGCCGTGTTGGGTCTTTGTTGCTGCGCAAGGATTTTCCCTAGAGAGCGGGGGGCTACTCTTCGTTTCGCTGTGCATGCTTCTCATTGTGGTGGCTTCTCTTGTTGCGGAGCACGGGTTCTAGGCGTGTGGGCTTTAGTGGTTGTGGCACGCAGGCTCAGCAGTTGTGACGCACAGGCTTAGTTGCTCTGCGGCATGTGGGATCTTCCCGGACCAGGGCTTGAACCCGTGTCCCCTGCACTAGCAGGAGGACTCTGTACCACTGTGCCACCAGGGAAGTCCCTAGAAATTTAAAACTAAAGCTAAAGAATCCGACTTCCAATGCAGGGGACGTGGGTTCAGTCCCTGGTCTGGGAACTAGGATCCCACATGCCTCGGGGCAACTAAGCCCTCGCACCTCAGTTAGAGAGCCCGCGTGCCACAAACTACAGAGCCCACACTCTCTGGAGCCTGTGCACCACAACTAGAGAGATGCCCACGCGCCACAACAAAGAGCCTGCGCATGGCATCAAAGAGCCCGCGCAACACAACAAAGATCCCGCGTGCCGCAACTAAGACCCAGAGCAGCCAAGAATTAAATAAATTAATTAAATTTAAAAAAAAATTAAAAATAAATAAATAAAGCTAAAAGCAATCTTAGTGATGATTTAGTACAACTTCTTTACGTTATAGCCAAGGCTATTGATGTCCGCTGACACTAATCTACCCAGTATTTTGCAACTAGTTAGTGGCAAAGCAAGTACTGTAACTGGTCAACCAACCCTAGGCTGATGCCAATTCAGCCACTTCCTAGAAGTCAGATAATAGGAAGATGTTCATGCCCTAAAGATCCAGTAGCTGCAGTAGAAGCGCAAGGAGGGTTCAGCCCTTGAAATGCACTGAGAGGGAGGGAGATGCGGCTGAGCCTTGGCGAGAGTGTTCACCCTCGTGGCTGTTTCATTCTGGCTGGTCACTGGGCAGCAGGTTGGTCACTTCTGTACTCTGGCAGTTGTGGAACTTGTTTGGAAGCTGCTCATTTGGGTGCAGTATGGTATTTTGGTGTTTCCTTTTCAGCAAACTAAATAAATTGGAGCAATTGGAGGAACTGAACCTAAGTGGAAACAGGCTTAAAACCATCCCCACGACCATCGCAAACTGCAAAAGGCTGCACACGCTGGTGGCGCACTCCAACCACATTAGCATTTTCCCAGAAATACTGCAGTTGCCTCAGATACAGGTACTTCTGTGCGCTGGGATGATGGCTGGGGGTGATGGGAGGGGTGTGACTGAGACAGTTCTCTTCTCCTAAGGAAGAGGAAAGTGGCGGTTTGGGATCACAGTATATTTAATTGACTTCTGGGAAGGAATTAAATTCCCTTTGAGGATATGGTAGGACATTGACCCTTAGGGAGTTAAGAATTAACTTAATCTCTGTGTTTTCCTCTCAGTTTGTAGACCTAAGTTGCAACGACTTGACCGAAATCCTGATTCCAGAGGCTCTGCCTGCTACTTTACAAGACCTGGACCTAACTGGAAATACAAATCTGGTTCTGGAACACAAGACGCTAGACACATTTAGGTAGGAAGACTTAGGAAGTTGAATCCACATGTGCTGTAACTCCCACCAGCCTTGTGTGGTTCTTCTTAAGGACTGTGGAGACCTCAGTTCATTAAAGGAGTAGAATGAATTAGATCATATAGCCCCTCAGTTCTCTTCTTTTAGTCAGTTTTCAATGGGTGTTCTGTCCAGCAGTCAGCCCATAGATATTCGAACTCAACATCGTGGGTACTGCTCAGCCGTACCCCAGTATCTTTACAGGGCAGGTGTGAGGCTGCACCCCACAGGCCTGCAAGCCCTGTACTTGCCCAACCTCGAGACCAAAGAAAGAGCCCAGAGTCAGCAACAGAGACATCATGTTTTAACGGGTAGGAGGATCTTACATGTCTGAAGCAAGGTCCCGGAGCAACACCCCACCGTGTGCAGCATCTGGTGGGCAGGACATGGTAGTGTCTTTACTACTGGGGGAGAGGGAGGTTACCAGTTATAGAGGGAGGTTGGCTCATCAGTTACCTGGGAAACGAGCAGAGGCACGCCCCCTTGCCACCCCTTTGATAAACTCTCATAGTAGAGAGAGTTCTGATCTAAAGATGAGAACAGTCACTAGCTGGGGCCGAGTGAAGCAGGGTGGGGAGGTAGGTATGCAGGCATTTACCGATCAGGCTCTGTGATTCAGAGGGAAGGTCAGTCAGGCGAGTAGGGTGTGGGTGAGGCAGGCACTGGTTGGGCAGGGTCGTACAGAGAGCAACAGAACAGCCATCCTGAGTGGGTGTGATTATACAGCAGGCATAGGTAATTTAGGTGGCACAGATCACATTACATTACATCTAAGACAATGCAAGCTCATTCATTGTACCAAGACTTCACTGTATCAAAATACTTAAAATAAGTAGACAGTTGAAACTTAGAAATTTTTGTTGTGCTTAGTTTTTCATTGAAATGAACGGCATTGATTGTAACAAAATTGGCCCCTATTTCTTCCTCCTACCCCTTTCCTCTCTCTTCTTTTTTTTTTTTTTTTTTTTTTTTTTTTGCCATCTGCGGGCCTCTCACTGCTGTGGCCTCTCCCGTTGCGGAGCACAGGCTCCGGACGCGCAGGCTCAGCAGCCATGGCTCACGGGCCCAGCCGCTCCGCGGCATGTGGGATCTTCCCGGACTGGGGCACGAACCCGTGTCCCCTGCATCGGCAGGCGGACCCTCAACCACTGTGCCATCAAGGAAGCCCTCTCTCTCTCTCCTTGGCCAGTGGGTCAGCATACTACTTTCTTTGGCCTCTCTGGAAATTAGTCTTGGTCTGTCAACAGATTATTTTATAAAAACGTAAATTATTGTTGAGATAGCTTCTGTAAAGTACAGAAGCATATACGGTTTAAACTTCCCTTCCTCCACTTCCCACAGCCATATCACCACCCTGAAAATTGATCAGAAACCTTTGCCAACCACTGATTCTACAGTTACATCAACCTTCTGGAGCCATGGACTGGCTGAGATGGCAGGGCAGAGAAACAAGTGAGTATCGTGGCCATGGAGACTGAGAAAGTTCCCCTGACATCTGGGAAAGGATCTGGTGCTGAAAGCTAGGCCATGTTGTTCTCCTGTTGGACATAAACAAATCACAGAATGCCAGCATCAGATAAGATTCCTCTGAGACCATGATCCAATAAGACAAAACAAAATGAATGTGCAGTCCACAAAACACCCACACCCCATCTCATGACTAAGCTGGGTGACTCCTACTTTCTTTATCAATCACAGCTTTGTCCCCATGCTAATCTTCTTTCCCTGTAGATAAGATTTATTGAGGTACCCAACCATAGAATAGCCCTGCTTTTTGACAGCACCCAATCTAGTATGATCCCCCACTTTGTTAGATCTTCCCCAAAATGACCCAGGCAGACACAAATCCTGTACTAGAGTTTTTCCAATACCCTCTTATATACCCCAGAGTCCCATGGTGTGCTTTCTCTTGTTGCAAGGCATAATAAACTCAACTTCTGCAGCCACAGGTATGTTGTGCACCTGGGGGAGTCTTTGGCTGAAAGGTGTTGATACTAGTCCTTAATCACTACGAAGAGAAAACATCTAATTTTCCCAGCCTTCCACAGCATTGCAGAGCTAATACGTACTGCTCCTGAATGTGGCTGAATTCCCCCTTTTCTTATGGCATCAACTCTTTAAGATGCTGCTTACTTATCTTCTGTAACACTTTTTTCATGTGTAGATTAGGATTTACTACTATTCTTCTCCACCCTCAATCAATACTTAGTTTTTTAAAGAAGCCTCCCTGGAGAGGAATGCTTTACCACTAACTTTCTTCGTTGTTTGTCTTTCTCCTGTTTCTGTGATAGGCTATGTATATCTGCTCTAGCTGTGGATAACTTTGCAGAGGGCGTGGGAGCTGTGTATGGCATGTTTGATGGGGACCGAAATGAGGAGCTCCCTCGCCTACTCCAGTGTACCATGGCAGATGTGCTTTTGGAAGAGGTACAGCAGTCAACAAATGACACAGTTTTCATGGCTCACACCTTCTTGGTATCTCACAGGTAAGCAGGTGGGTTGAATAATTCCTAACTCGGCCCTGCTTTTGGAAAATAAATCTCACTAAGCCAGAAGGTCAGGGTCTCAATTATAAGTACAGGGGCAAGGTGAGATTTTGTTCTTTGTTCTGTGACCATTCTCTCCATCAGCACGGAATGTGGGGACTTTGGCTCTTTAAAGAGCCTGTGGAGGCATCTGTTTTCTCTGTTGAAACGGAAGGCTGCTGAGAATCTGGAAAGCCCAGAAATCATGCGCAAAATGTTGTGTGTGTGTATGCGCATTTTGGGGAAGGAAGGTGGTAATCCTTTTATAAGAGACCTACAAAAGGTTAAGCACTCATCAGACTCTTGTGTTTAAAATACTTATTATTGGGGATTTACCAAGTAATCTCCTCACTGAAGTCTAAGCCACTTAAGGGCAAAAACCCTATAAACCAAGCTGTTGAAAATCTCATAGTGGCTAATAGAGCATCTTGCACGTCAGGTGGGCTGCATAAAGGGTACATACAACTGAGAGGGTGTACCTTTGTATAATCAAGGTTGAAACGGAACAACCTGGAGCCCGAGGTGCTTTTATCTGTCATTATAACACAAAGATGTTGGGAAAGGAGTCTATTTTTCAGTAATAGAATTGAGCCTAGGGACTTGGCAAAATAAAGGGTGTGGGAAAGGAAATTCAGTTTATGAAGCACTTCCCAAGAGCTGGGCACTGTACCAAGCATTTTCCGTACTGTATCTTTAATTTTCAAAACGAGCTGTGGAGGTGGGTATTTTAATCAGAAAAATTTCTCGGAGCATCAACTTGCTGAGGATCTATAGCCCATAAATGGCAGAGCTGGAATTTGAAACCAGATCTTTCAGATAGCATCTGCTCTATACTTAGCATTGTGTACCAAGCGCTGAGGGGGATGGATGCCATGTGTATGGGAGAAATACAAGGAAAATTATGGGCCTTCCTTCAGGGAACTTACAGCCTAAGTAAGTGGTTCACAAAGTGTTGTTCTAGGACTAGCAGCCTCAGCATCACCGGAAACTTATTGGAATGTAGATTATTGGGCCAGCCCCTTACCCACTGAATCAGAAACTCTGGGGGTGGGCCCAGAGTTGTCTTGAACAAGCCCTTCAGGTGTTTCTTGAACAAGCCCTTCAGGTAGCCCTTCAGGCTACCGTTGGAAGCCACCGAATTAGGTCATTGTAGTCTGTGATCAGACAAGCAGAAGCAACAGAGAAAGCCGCACCTTGTCTCCTCTACCCGGACCCTTTTGGTAAAATTTCTCAGCTAAGAGTAGAAGGCAAGGTTGTCTTCACCATCATCACCCACATCAAGAGGCTGCCTTCAGACAGAGGAGGGTGAGGCAGCTTCAGTCACACAGCAAAATAACGAGGGAGTCATGGACATGAAGGACCGCTGCTTTCTTCTAAAACTAGCTGCCATGTTTTCATTTTCTTTTCTTTCTCAACAGGAAATTAGGAATGGCTGGCCAGAAGCTGGGCTCTTCTGCTCTCCTTTGTTATATCCGCCCTGACACTGCCGATACAACAAGTAGCTTTAGCTTGACCGTGGCCAACGTTGGCACGTGCCAAGCAGTCCTGTGCCGAAGTGGGAAGCCACTGCCCCTGTCTAAAGTCTTCAGCCTGGAACAGGACCCAGAGGAGGCTCAGAGGGTGAAGGACCAAAAAGCCATCATAACAGAGGTGAATCTTGCTCTCCACCGGTCACTTCCGCTCCCCGAATCTAATGAATACTGTTCTGCATAGAACAGTGAACGTCCATTTTCTTCCTATCAAGCCCTGTAAATTGTATCCAATCCTGAAAATAGTAATAAAAGAAAATCTAATGAGCAGCTAATGACTAGCAGAAAGAAAAAGGAAATTAATTAGAAATGAAAAATCCTAATTTGTGGTCCTTGAGACTTATATATAGCATGTAAAATAAATGTAAATGTCCTCCTTGGTTAATTTTCATCTGGTTTGTTATTCCAAACAGAAGAAAAAAAGTTATATAGTTTGACATCCCTGTTCTGAAATGAAAAGTTTCACAGTATTTTTCCTTTTTATATTGTATATGGCTTAGTATACTCTGGTATTGTTTTTTTTTTTTTAATAAAGAAGCATCAGTATCTCTATAACTTTTCTCCCTTTTCAGAAGTTAGCATAACATTTTTGCTTTCAAAAAGACTTTAGCAGTTACATGTGGACATTGTTGACTGCAAAGCAGAATTTTGTTCAGATCTTTTGTCCATTTTTAATTGGATTGTTTGTTTCTTTATTGTTGAGTTCTTTGTGTATTTTGGATACAAGTCCTTATCCGAAATGTTTTGCAAATATTTTCTCCTGGTCTGTGGCTTGTCTTTCATTCTTTTAACAGTGTCTTTTGCAGAGCAGAAGTTTCTAGTTTAATGAAGTCCCGCTTACCAATTTTCTTCTTTCATGGGTCATGCTTTTGGTGTTGTATCTAAAAACTCATTGCCAAACCCAAAGTCACTTAGATTTTCTTCTGTGTTATCTTCTAGAAGTTTACATTTAGGTCTGTGTTTTATTTTGAATTAATTTTTGTGAAAGGTGTAAGCTGCTCCATGTCTAGGTTTTTTTTCTTTTTTGGCATGTGAATGTCCAGTTGACACAGCACCGTGTTTTGAAATAGACTGTCCTTTCTTCACTGAATTGCCTTGGCTCCTTTGTCAAAGATCAGTCGACTATATGTGTGGGTCCACTTCTAGGCTGTCTGTTCTGTCAGAATTCTGTAATAAGGACTATAAAAGATTCCATCCAGGGACGCACAAAACCAAAAAAGTATCATTATAATGTGGTTGATGCTATGGAGATTCTGGAAATTTGGTCTTAGGAGAGTCTTTCAGTCAAAACAAATGAAAGATAGAAGATAATTTTTTGCATGATTAGTCTATTACAGAATTTAGATAATGTTGTTCAGATTGTTCTTAGGGAGTCCTGGACAAGTAGGAAACATTTTTATAACTACAGACATTTATTGTTTTCTTGTTATTTGCTAAGCATTGTACTTTCACTGTTTTGTTTAAGCTTCACAATAACCCCCATGAAAGAAGTGCTTTTATTTTCATTTTACGGGTGAGGAAAATAAGATTATAAATTTCGAGAGTTTGTGACAAATTCTGATAAATGAGGCAGGATTTTCACCCAAAGAATGACTCCAACTATGAAATTAGTATATTGAGGGCTTTAGCAATTTTATTTGGTTTTATCTTGAGGAGAAATCAATATGAAGCATCTGGCAGATAAACATTCCCAGCCTGCAACCAGGGTTATTCCTTTTCCTCTGAGTTTAGAATTACATCGTTCTTGGTACAACCATTACAGAGTAGGTAAATTATGCCACAGATTTCAGACTTTAGGCATTATTCAGTGCTTTAGCTATAAAAATTCTCTTAGCCATTTACTATCTTCAGTCCCAACTCTGCCTTTAAATGAGAAGTCATATTTAGTGACCTATCTGAGTTTTGGCCCCTCCAAGAATACTAGTGATGGGGAATTGATAGTTTTGATTATTGTTTTTCTAACAGATGTTTCTCTATTGAAGAACATGCTGAGGCCTATACTTCATGTTAGAGCAAATATCTTTTGAGATGGAGGTGCCTTTTAGCCACTTAATTTTAATTGGTTTTAACTCAGTCCTCTGAACTATTTGCAGAATAATACCCATTTGATATTTTGTCCTTTTAGAATTCTATACATTTATTTTTCATAAGTCCACTTAAAATTACACAGATCCTAGGAAAAACCACATAACATGTCAATTCTGTTTTATTGTAGAGCCCTAAGCATTGTGATCTAGAGAGATATAAAATTTGGTGTCATTGTTGCTTGTTTCTCAGAGTTTGCATTCTGCTTGTCTCTAGGACAACAAAGTGAATGGGGTAACCTGCTGTACCCGGCTGCTGGGCTGTACATACCTCTACCCTTGGATCCTCCCCAAGCCCCACATATCTTCCACTCCACTTACCATTCAGGATGAGTTGCTGATTCTGGGAAACAAAGCATTGTGGGAACACTTGTCATACACAGAAGCAGTCAATGCAGTGTGCCATGTACAAGACCCATTAGCGGCTGCCAAGAAGCTGTGCACATTAGCGCAGAGCTATGGTTGTCAGGACAATGTGGGTGCGATGGTGGTTTATTTGAACGTTGGCGAGGAAGGCTGCACTTGTGAAATGAATGGGCTCACCCTCCCAGGTCCTGTGGGATTTGCTTCAACCGCTGTCATCAAGGACCCACCCAAGCCAACCACTCCTTCCTCCAGTAGTGGTATTGCCTCTGAGTTCAGCAGCGAGATGTCCACTTCAGAGGTGAGCAGTGAGGTGGGATCCACTGCTTCTGACGAACATAACACTGTTGGCCTGGATGCTGGCTTGCTTTCAAGGCCAGAGAGGCGCTGCAGCCTCCACCCAACGCCCACCTCAGGGGTGTTTCAGCGCCAGCCGTCTTGTGCGACTTTCTCCAGTAACCAGTCTGACAACGGCCTGGACAGTGATGACGACCAGCCCGTTGAAGGGGTCATGACCAATGGCAGCAAGGTGGAAGTAGAAGTAGATATCCACTGCTGTAGGGGGAGGCAGCTTGAGCACTCTCCCACTCTTAGGGAGAATTCTCCTACCTTGTGCCTCGAGGAACGTGCTAGAGGGTTAGTTTTTGGGATCCGAAGACAGAACAGTGTGAATAGTGGCATCCTTCTGCCAGTGAGCAAAGACAAGACGGAGTTACAGAAGTCTCCCTCCACTTCCTGTCTCTACGGAAAGAAACTCTCCAATGGCTCGATTGTGCCCCTGGAAGATAGCCTGAACCTCATCGAAGTGGCCACAGAAGCACCCAGGAAGAAAACCGGCTATTTTGCTGCCCCTGCTCAGCTGGAGCCAGAGGACCAGTTCGTTGTTCCTCGTGACCTCGAAGAAGAAGTGAAGGAACAAATGAAGCACCACCAGGAAAGCAGGCCTGAGCCTGATTCCAGCGAAGAGGGTCGGACCGAGCTCGCAGAGGAGTTTGACACGGCGCTGTAGTACTCCCCTGGGGGCCGCGGCACTGGGAAGGCTGTGAGGTGTGGGGTAGGGCACCCTGCCAGGCGCACTCTGCCTCTGCATTTCTAAACCACAGATGAGAGTTGGGTAGAACTCGGAGCCAGAAATGGTGAGAGCTGTCAGGGTCTTTCTCTGGATAAGCTAGTAAACACCATCAGTGTTCAGTTTCACATTTAACCTGCATTGGGATCCCCAGGGCTACTGGGGAGCAGGCAGGTATTGCCCTGTACCAGTCCTACCACCTGCCATTAACCCTTTCTCTCCTAGGATAATTTTGAGAATTTGCCTGCCTGGGCAGGAAAGGGACTATTTCTGTGGAGGAAATAACTGAAGATTGATTCCCTTTACTGATTGCTGCTGTTGGATCTCCGTGACAGAGAAATCACCTTATATCGCAACCTGACGGGATGCAACGTGACTAGTCACATGGCTTTTCCTTCTTCTCTACGAGAACACAGCCTATCAAAATGATGTTTATTGGAAATGTAGAACCAATCAAACAGATAATTTATGTATGTGATGTAGTGAGAGCACTTTTCATTGACTGTGAACTTTTTATTTTTGAATCTGCCCGGGAGCCAGTCTTCTTAGAGGCAGCCCAGCGCCTTTGTCCACAGGCAGGATGATCGTCAGGTGTTGGCGCCGGCTGTGAGGGTTCTAGGAGGTTCTAGGAGGGGCCCTGGGAAATTGATTTAACTGTTGGATGTCAGACTGTGAACGTTTCTGAGACAGGGGAGTAGGACCTTCTTTGGGGGATGAAGATGAGGAAGGAGTGAGGACTAATACTACATCCCCCCAAATCACAGAAAGAGAATAACTCCTTGACAAATGTGACACCTGCTAGGAACCTCCCAGCAGGTCACAAAAGAGGCATTTGGGGATTGGCCTCTTTCCATAACATGTGATGGAGGTGGCAGTCAGCCTCCTAGCACGTAGGGCCCAGGCTGCTGCTGCTTACATCCAAGTAACCTTGAGTTATAGATGACTCTGAACAGACTGAGGCCGAACGAGCACAGATGGATGGATGGAGCTTCCCGGTTAGGCAGGTTCCTTCTCGTACTCTAGAGCAGAGAGATGGTTTTCTAAAACATCAGGAGTGAGTTGAGGGTTCACCTCTTAATGTTTAACAGAGTCTTCTTCTGAAAATGCTTATCCGTCTCACATGGTTTCACAGTACTGGGCTCAATTTCTGAAAGACTTAATTGAGAATATCCTAAGCTTACAGAAAACCTGGTTTACTGATTTTTTTTGCACATTCCATGTAACCCTTGCAAAATGCAGTTCCTTCCATAATTCTGTTCTGTTGCCTTTTCTTTTAGAAGATTTACTTAGGAAAATTAATTCCTCTTTATTCCTGCGAAGTTTTGACATTGGTTAATGTTACCCAGTGGGGAATGTGCTTTGAATTTTTAAATACTTTCACAATTAAAAAGAAAATAGAGTGGAACCATTTTTAATTTGTTTCATGAGAAACAAAATGTTAAAGATAAGGTTAATCTATACATATATTTGTCTTTTTTTGGGGGGGGCGGGGGGAAGTTTTGTTAAAGCAGTGGTAGAAAACCAGATGACCACTCCACAAATAGTTATGTATCCTCATCTTCTCAGAGGCCCCGTACCCATGTGCGTGTGTCAGTGGGGTACACTCTTGGGGGTTCCATACCAATGGCTGTCTAGTGTTCAACCCATCAAGGATCTGAATTTGAGTCCCCAAATTACCAGGAACACAACTTTTCTGTGTCAAACTACTGGTTAGCTACTGCAAAATTTTAGAACTCAGGTCTTGATTTGAAGTGGGGAACATAGTGGTTCATGCAAAGTTCAGGTGCTGTAAGAAAGATGGGAACAGTAGTATGTTGCCGCCTTATTTTTTAATAGAAAAATTGGGGGGGGATGAAAATGAAGGAAAAAACCCAAGATGACAGTGTTGGAAATTATTTTGGGAATATACCACTTAACTAGTATAGTCTTTTAAAAATTGTCCTTTATCTGTGAACCTTTTCTTGTCTTTGTTTCCCACCCTACTAATTGGAACCACCACAAAACCCAGTTATGAAACGACTTCACTAAAAGTAAATGTGTTTACTTTTTAGTCAGAAGGACCCTAAAGTTCCAAATGTTCCTTTATGTGGTAGATTTATGTTCAGGAAATGTTAGGTTGTTTGAAAACCTTTAATATAGGCTACACCAAAACTGACTACTCTTTTTTGTAACTTCCTTTGATTCATTTCCCTCTGTAATTGCTCTTTGTTAAAACAGGGGATGAAAAGGCCATAGCCCATCACCAAAAATACACAGAACTCTTTTGACCTATGAAGTCATTTACAGTTGTTGTGTGATCTGATTAGGTTGTCAGGTGGTGAAAGCCAGTAATCTGTCTCCAGGTGAATGTAATCTACTTCCCAGGACTTCACCCAGAGGATGTGTTCCCCAGGTGGGCAGAGGCCCGTTGATCTCTAGCCCAGAGATTCCGGCCTCTGCATGATTCTCAGGTCCTTGTGCGTACCTCCCATTTAATAGAGACATTTAAGAGAATTTCTGAAAGAACATCACTCCTGCTTAATGGGAGCAGTCCAGGAGTCCCATGGAAGAAAGAAAAATACACAAGTCTTGGCAGCCATGGTATTTTTATTTTTATCCAAATGGATTGAAAATACATTTGAAAATTTGAATGCTAGTATGTCATACATCTACCGTGCTACCATAGAGTCATTGAATTGCCACTCCTCATTACAAGCGAGGGCTTTATTATACTACTGTAGTGTGTATGTGTGCAATAAGTTGATGAATTCATTTTCCTGGTGTATAGAAGAGCCAACACAAGCAGCTTGGTAATCATTGGGTGCTATTTTCTAGGAGATGGAGCCAGGGAGGTTTGGCTGATCTACTGAATATCAAAAGATGCCCTTCTTTCCATGTAGGCTTTCAGCAAAAGCAGGTACTTGGAAGCCACAGGCTCACCTTCTCTATTTACTCAATAATTACTAATGAAGAGACCTCCATAAGGGAGCACTTGGCTGTTATTGATAAATGTACCAATTATTAAATAGTCTCCAAGCCATTCAGTGATGTCCTCAGCATCACTATAGAACTGTCTTGTGTCACTTTTTACTTCCCTCTGGGTGGGGACTTTCAGAATCCCCCAATGGCAAGTTAATCTTTCTCTCCAGTTAGTGACTTTTGCCCCATAGTTGGGTAAGCACTTCCTGGGTTGAGAAAAGCAGCTACAGTAATTCCTGCTCTGTTTCCCTCATTTGATGATCATTCAGTCACACATAAGCTCCTTCAAAATTTCATGCACTTCTCTCAGAAGCTGTAGGGTTTTCTCTCACTGTTGCCAGTGGATGTCATCCAGACAGTGAGTTCATGTCTTATGGTTTTGTGCAATCATTGTCATATTGTAGTCCTAAGACTCATTATAGTGTATTTTTGATATTTTTGAAATGTGTTAAATTTTTTAATTCAATAATATGAGCCAGAGCATGTTGCAGCAAATCTATTGTTTGTAAAAAAAAAATAATAATAATAAATAACAATAATAATAAAGAAAATAAAATGGGATCTTTTTCATGGCTTTGTTTTAAAATGGAATGAGTACCTGTTATTTTATAAGTACTTTATTTTAGCATGAAACTGTAATTTTCTCTAACTTGTATGTGAAATTAGTTTCTTAACCAAAAGCACCTTTAGGATCTTTCTGCTTTTTCTTGTTGTAGGGGAAGATAACAAATGAAACCACATTCCATAACACTCTATGAAGCAATGAGTTAAGGCAAGAATAAATATTTTTGATCACCATTTAAGCTGAAATAGCAATAAAGATTTTTTACATTAAGAAATATTATATTCTGACTTGGTTTATATGTTTAAAGAAATCCCAAAGACAGGAAGCATGGTCCTTATTTCCATGCAGGTTATTAGCTGACTAGAGGGAACTTAATTTGTAAATAATCTACAGCTCCTCTTAAACAAACCACAGAACTACCAGTGATACAGAGGAACTAAATGGGTAATCTGGCCATCTTGTCTGTCCTAATGGCTTTGGTGTTAGAGTTTAAGACAGTGGTGAGTTTTGGCTCACACAGTACGTGTAATCTAGCTAAGCCTCTAAATTGTTCCCCTCCCCTCTCCCCATTGGTTGTCTCCCATAATCTCTGGACTTCCAAGCAAGATTAGCTACCTCTCACTCCAAATAAAGGCCCAGTTGAAATCATTTTGCAGGTTTCCTCTTTGTTTAGCAGAATGAAATTTTGAAAACTTGGCTCACCAACTGTTCCTTGAGCACCTCCAATGTGCTGGGCTCAATCATGACACGTACACCTGCCTACCGGGTGGCAGAAGTGAACTTCTCTGGGTGTGTTCTCTCCTTCGTGTGATATTGTCTCCCTGGAACATCACACCCCACAAGAGGACGTTAGTCACTCAGAACACTTTCCCGTGTGTGATTCACTGGGTCTGAGTTTTTCCTCTGCTACTTAAAAAGATTTGACTTTAGGCAAGTTCACCTCTCCAAGGCAGGTATTTTTTTCTCGATTGTTAAATGGAGATAATAGTCTCTCTCTCAACAGCTGTGAGCTAAAATGAGCTGATGTCAACAAATGCTTCCTTAGCTCAGTACTGGACCCGGCACAGTGAGCACTCAATGAAATGTCAACCATTGGGCGAGCCACTTAGCCTTCTTGAATCTTCATTTCATCTGTAAAATGTGAGTAAGAAATCTTGACCTGCCAACCTGCCAAGTGGTAGTAACTAAGGCAAGTTTTGCTAAGGCATTTTGAATGTCGCTACAGTGATTTGAGAGGAGCTGAACTGGACCAGTGCACCACAAAGGGGTTGCAGTGGCCAAAGTCCTCATTTTCCCAAGCCCCGGACCCAGACACGGGCAAAGCTCTACTCAGGGTACGTTTCAGGGAATAAATCCTAGGTGAGAATAGTGTGTGTTGGGAAGTTTTTTGGGGGGGGTTCGGGTGGGAAATGGGTTGTTTGGTTTTTGCTGCTGTTAGACTTGTCTTACCACTCAGTGAAAACTCTGTGGGACTCCAGCCACTGCCTCGGGCTAAGGTGGTGGAGCAGAAGCGGCTTTCTGTGGCACTGGTGTTTGTGTTTTAAGCTAGCAGTGTAGACTTCTAGTTGTTGTTTTCCTCCAAGCTTTACTTTTTGTAAAAGTAGAATCTAGATATTTGCTCATTTCTGTCTGAGGTTTAGTTTTGATCCTTCACCTTGGATAGGTTCTATAAGAACTAGTAATAGGAAGGATTTAAGAGGAGAGAGGAAAGGTAATATATTCCAGAGAAAAGAGTCAGCAAACATGCAGGGGTAAAAATGGCCAACACACATCAGAGGAAAATGACATTGACGGAATTTTTTTAATAGCCACTTTGGCATACATTGAAACGGGCTTACGTTTGCTGATTTCTTACTAGCTATATAGACAGTCTGAGATTTCTGTCAAAATTGCTCTTTTTAGAAATGTACTAAAAATTTGGTTTGAACTTACTAATAGTTTAATCTCATTTGTAATATGAAAATAAAACAATGTTATAAAAAAAGATGGCAACTAGAAAAACTACCCTTTATAATAACACGTATATTTCTAGTTGCATCTTACATGAACGGAATATCTGAGACTAGTTGTAAAGTATAAGCACAGCTATAAAACTTTAGGTTAAAATTACTGAAAGAACTTTATTTTTGAGATTCAGTGTTAATGGTCTGTTACATTATGGAAACAATTCAGAATTGTGAGAGATTACAATCGACCTTTGAAGGCCTACTCTGTAGGGTGCTGGAAGGGATGCAGAAATAAAGAAGGCTCCAAAATGCCTGTATAGTCTAGTAAAATCAACTGCTTTATCTTTGTACTCAGCTGAATAACACGTTTAAGAAGTTTATGAATTTTATTTCTCACTATTTGGAGGTGTCATATTTCAGGAAATTATAAAATATTTCAGGAAAGTGAATTCCAATCAAATGACTTGAAACAAGAAAGCAACTAGCTTGGAAAGGTGGCAAAAACCATTTTATCTGAGCCCTACCCCAGGAATCCCGAGGAGGAACATGCATGCTAAAAGCACCTTACCTGTCTTCAGGTTTCAGGGATCCAGCCTCTGGGACCCATGCAGTCATGGTATACTGTCGAATAGGCAGGAGAGTTTTCCTCCAGGAGAGAGCCAGAATGTAATTACTCATTTGGAATCTAATCACACAAATGCTTTATAATCATTCCCCTGGGATCAAATACAGGGAGGAACGGCATGTTTTTCTTAGTGACTTTAGTTTGGTCAGGCAAGCTATTTCCACTGGAACACTGGGCCTGCTACCCCTGATGTGTTGTTCTCATCTTTCAGAATTTCTCTGGCTACTTAGCTAGTATTATTACCTTACCATTTGGTAAGAGAGTCAAACCATAAGCGTATATGCAAACTTCCAATGTTGATCTTTGTAGCGAAGGTGGAGGTATTTTTTTCTAGCTCTCAGCCAACAAAGACATTGATAGAAAAATGGGATGATCATCTAGCTTTGCATTGGTGCCAAAGGGAACATTTATAAAATCAAGTACATGAAAACCACATTTGTGTAATGTGGTTTTTGAGAGAAACAAGGGAGCTGGGTTGACTTAGGTTCCAGTAGTAGATCTCAGAGTATCCCAGACCACAGGTATTCTGGTGCATCATTATAGTTGCTGTGCTGTTCTTGGCTGTCCTTGTAGTGCTTCTGTTCTCGGTAGCTCCGCAGGGCCAGCACCACGCTGGCGCCATACATCACCACCAGAAGACAAGCAAAGGTGGCTGCTGCTCCATCAGTGCCTGCCAGCTGGCAGTTCATCCAGGTGAGACCCCTGCGGGCATAGACCCTCTCTCTTGTCCTGCAGGTGTCTGTGGCATTGATCCGCAAGGCCGCGTGGAGGTAAATGCCGATGCCTACGCAGTAGCCCAAAGCCGCGAGGAGGCTGAAGGCGGCCTCAAATAGGAGCCACTTCCCCGGCAGTTTGTTTAGACTCTTGGCTCCTTGGAGTAAAACACCCAAGGTGAGGACACCCAGCCCCAGAGAAACAGCCACACCGCTGTATATCAGGGGCGCCCGGAGGATCGTGTACTGCTGGTCCAGCTGCCGAACCTGCTCCAGCTCAGTGCCCTCAAACGGTGAGTAATAGCTGTTCCCAAAGCCACCGCCGCTGGCAAAGCTGGCACTGAATCCAGCAAGGACAAAGTAGGAGGCCACGATACACATGAGAACCATCCCATTCAATATCACCTCCACTATCTGTATCACACCTAGGAGGAGAGAGATTGGGAATTTAACACTGACGTCACTCACCCAGGAAAGCTCTCTCTAGGTCAGGCAAGAGAAATACCACCTGATTGTGAGGACATGGTCAGACTCAACATTAACATCCTTGGTTTTTGTTTTTTAATTCTCATGTTGGAAAATCAAGATGCCACTGTGGAAAAACTTTTGGCCGTTACTTTAAAAACTATACATACCCTTACCATGTGACCTTGTGACTGTACCCCTGAGCATTCATCCTAAAGAAATGAAAACTTCGGTCTACACAGAAACATGTACACAGATGTCACAGTAAACCCTAATGCCCTCCAATGGGTGAATGGTTCAACAATCTGGTACAGCCATCCCCAGGGGAAACTCTACTCAGCAATGAAAAGGAATGAGCAACTGATACTCGGAACAACTCGGATGGATCTCAAGGGATTCATGATGAGTGAAAAAAGCCAGTCTCAAAAGGTTACATACTGTATGATTCCATTTACATAACAGCCTCAAAATGAGAACAGATTAGTGGTTGTCAGGGAGGAGTGGGATTGGGGGAGCGGAAGGGGGATGGGTGTGACTATAAGTGGGGAGCGTAGGGAAGTTCCAGTGATGGAACAGTTCTGTAGCTGATTGTGGCAGTGGTCACACGAATCTACACAGGTGATAAAACCGCACAGACCTACACTCACACAGACATGAGTGCATGTAATACTGGTAAAATCTAACTAAGCTCTGGAGAGTGTCAATTTCCTGGTTGTGATTTTGTACAATAGTCACCACTGGGGAAAACCGGGTTAAGGATACACAGGATCTCTGTTCTATATTAGCAATGTTTTGTGAATCTATAATTATTTCAAATTTTAAAGTTTAAAAAAAATCAAAATGACATAAAAGGGCATAAACTGAGAAAAATCACCCATGTCCCTGTCCACCCTGTTCTCTACCCCCAACCACTTTCATTATTTTCTAATATAACTTTCCAGCGTTCGTTTATGCAAGTAAAAGCACTCAAATCTGAATTTCATCCCCCTTTTCCCTGCTTGTGTCACAGGGAGGACACCACAGACACTTCTCTGCATTGTGCTTTACTCTTCCTGGAGATGTTTTCAGATCATCTCCTACAGTGTCCACATGCTCTGTTACGTGGCCTCCAAGCCCGCTGTGTGGGTGGACCAGTCTATTCAGCCAGGATCCTACTGCTGGATACTTGGCCTGTTCACTTGCGGGGGTTCTTACAAGTTTAAGGAACCCGCAAATGCCACGAGGCAGCGGAAGCCAACAGGTGAATGGAGATGAATGTCGACTTGTCCAAAGTCACCTTTCATTTGTCACTGACAGGGGCCCCAGCCTCTCGTTAGGCGTCTTCCTGGGAGAAGGTCTCCTGTTCTCTCAGGGGTCAGAGATGAGAATGAAGAGAAAAGCATATGAACCTAGAGTGGGAATGCCGGGCTCATATCCCCACTCTTTACTGCCTTGTGACCGTGCCCAAGTCACTGACTCTAAGCCTCAGACACTTCATCTAACAAATGAAGGTAATGCCTCCCTGTCTTATCCCACAGGGCTGGGATGAGACCCAAATGAAAGCAAGTATGTGAAAATACCCAGAAAATTATAAAATGTTATACAAGTGGACGGTGATGCTACCCAGTAACATATATAAAATGGAAGGAGAGGGGACTTCCCTGGTGGCACAGTGGTCAAGAATCCATGTGCCAATGCAGGGGACATGGGTTCGATCCCTGGTCCAGGAAGATCCCACATGCCGCAGAGCAACTAAGCCCGTGAGCCACAACTACTGAGCCTGTGCTTTAGAGCCTGCATGCCACAACTACTGAGCCCGCATGCCACAACTACTGAGCCCACATGCCACAACTACTGAGCCCACGTGCTGCAACTAATGAAGCCTGGGCGCCTAGAGCTTGTGCTCCGCAACAAGAGTAGCCATCACAATGAGAAGCCTGGGCACTGAAATGAAGAGTAGCCCCCGCTCCCTGCAACTAGACAGAGCCCGTGTGCAGCAATGAAGACCCAATGCGGCCAAAAAAAAAAAAAAGAAAGAAAAAAATGAAGGGGATTAATAAGAGATTTAAGAAGAAAAGGGGGGCTTCCCTGGTGGCGCAGTGGTTGCGAGTCCGCCTGCCGATGCAGGGGACATGGGTTCGTGCCCCGGTCCGGGAAGATCCCACATGCCGCGGAGCGGCTGGGCCCGTGAGCCATGGCCGCTGAGCCTGCGCGTCGGAGCCTTTGCTCCGCAACTGGAGGGGCCACAACAGTGAGAGGCCCGCGTACCCCCCCGCCAAAAAAAAAGAAAAAAAAAAAAAAAGAAGAAAAGGGACAGGGACTTCCTTGGTGTCCAGTGGGGAAAACTCCACACTCCCAATGCAGGGGGCCTGGTGTTCAATCCCTGGTTGGGGAACTAGATCCCGCATGCTGCAATTAAGGCCCAGTGCAGCCAAAATAAATAAATAAATATTAAAAAAAAAGAAGAAGAAGAAAAGGGACAAATTTATGAAAAGCATGGTTTCCCAGAAGTCAGGAAAACTCTCTAATACACAAGGGGGTACCACAACGTTTATAAACTGGGCAGCTAAAGACCAGTATGTCTAATGTACTTAGGCAACAGCTACTGAGCTTGCTGATTCCATCTCCTGCTGGGCCCACACAAATTCCTAGGAGGTCCAGGGAACGCAGCAGTCAAGGGCTCTGAAAGTTGAGAAGCTACATTCCTCTCATTTAAATCTGAAAATAACATCAGACCAGAACTGCCCACTCTCCTCCCAGGCACCCTAAGCTACTGGCTACTCTCTTCCTACAAGCAGCGCAAATTAATTGACCCAGACATCATTCTAATTCACGGGGAGTAGCTATCTCCCCCACCCAGCACCTTTCTCTGCCATGCAGTTAATCTCTCACCCCCTGAAGGGAAGCAGGGATACTGTGCTACTACAAGATGTGGGCAACCTGAATGTTTCCTTCCGGGACAAGATTCTGCCAAAGCAGCAGCGGCATAATCCACGCAGCACATATCTGCCAGGCTGAAATGTAATATATCTATTGATAGATCTTGTCAACCACTCCACTGACTGCAACAATCAAGAGGAATAATGGTCTGTTGCTGGGGCCAATGATGAAGAAATATGGCCACTGGATATTATCAGAGCACCAGCCAGGCCTGACTTGGCTTTGCTGAAAACATCAAACAGGTTCAAGTATTTCCAAGCATGCTGTTAGTGCAGAAAGATTCATAGACATCAGGAGAAAAGAAAAGAGTGGCCTACTAGAGCTACCAGTTTATCCCTATGGAGGGATAAACTGTAGAGGGAAGTGGAAACTGAAACAGACAGATTTTTATTGTAAAATAGCATCTTTTTGGGTGAGGCTGCTTTTGTGGCTGATCATTTAATACTCTGCTTAACTAAACATCTACTATCTGCCTTTTCACTGTAAATGTGAAAAAACTGAGGAAAGCAAACCAAAACATTTTTTTCTAAAATAAGACTAAGACATGTGCAGTCAAGTCTTACATAAAATGAAAAAAATTTTTTAATTTCCTCTCCAGAAGCAAATACTGTTAATACATTCTTATATACTCTTCAAGAAGTTTTCTAATCATATACAAGCAACTATATGTATTTCCTTTTTTTTTTTTTTTTTTTGCAGTACGCGGGCCTCTCACTGCTGTGGCCTCTCCCGTTGCGGAGCACAGGCTCCAGACGCGCAGGCTCAGCGGCCATGGCTCACGGGCCCAGCCGCTCCGCGGCACGTGGGATCTTCCCAGACCGGGGCACGAACCCGCGTCCCCTGCATCGGCAGGCGGGCTCTCAACCACTGCGCCACCAGGGAAGCCCATGTATTTCCTTTTGTAAACCCAAATGGAACTCACCTTTTAAATGTGACAAGAAAATATTATAAATGTATTATAAAGAGAACCATCACCTCCAAATTAAAATTTTTCTTTGGATTTTTATTGGAGTCACATAAAGAACATATTCACTTGTACCAAGAATATATTATAATGGGCCATAAGTCCTAATTTAACATGCAGTAAGAACCCATGAAGTTGTCTGGCCAAAAGTAGCATACTTATCCTGGGAAAGATTTTACTTTCTTTAATTTTGGATGGATCCTGAATTCCAGATGTCGGGTTGAATTCGTCGTACAATGGTACATTTACAAGAGGTACAAAACACTCATTGAGCTTTCAAGCCCATTGTAAGGGGCTTGTTAGAATACCTCCTTTGCAACCCAGTGAATTAATCTGATTCCTCTTTCCTCAGCCCACGTCTCCCTCCAGCTTATATCTTACAGCAGCAGTTTCCCAGGCATCCCCATCCCCTGCCATCCAGAGCATTAAGGAAGTGAAGGGCCTAGAGTTCAGTGAGGAAAAAATTCGAGGCTAATCTGCTTAAGACCGCTGTGTTTAGAGAACTTCAGGCTGAAATGTTTTTTCATGTCTGTGTGACTTTTCATGAACTTTGAGGATAAGGTTCTTCAAATTCACTTGGTTATCTCCCTTTATTCACTCAAGAAGTGCATTTTGCTGCAGCATATGCCTTTTCCTTGTGGGTCTTGGGCTCTAGTTTTGGTTGTTTTTTGTTGTTTTTTAAAGTAATTTTGGTTGGTCCCTTGCCAACAGAGGGCTCCAGGACCAGGGTTTATTACGTCAGGCAGTGCTGCTCTATGTACCCTGGAGCTAGGCCCAGCAAACTAAAATTGGTCTGTTACTTTCCAAGGGTTGGCAAGTTCTACAACAAAATATTCCACGAAAGACAGTGGTTCAGAGTAACTTCCATCACTCAAGTTTTTCGGAACTTTTTTTTTTTTTTTTTTTTTGCAGTACGCGGGCCTCTCACTGTTGTGGCCTCTCTCGTTGCGGAGCACAGGCTCCGGACGCGCAGGCTCAGCGGCCATGGCTCCGCAGCATGTGGGATCTTCCCGGACACGGGGCACGAACCCACGTCCCCTGCATCGGCAGGCGGACTCTCAACCACTGCGCCACGAGGGAAGCCCTGGAACGTTTTAAAAAGCCTAAAACTCCAGCATTTCCGCAGGCTTCTCTTTCAGCTTCCTAACCTTTCGGTAACCCCTTATGGCCAGCACGGCCCCCAGGGCAAAGACCCCGATGCCCAGGGCAGCAAAGATTCCAGCACCTATGTCTCCCCCATGGAAACTGCAGCTGAAGCCACTGTATCCTTTCCTCTGGTACAGCGCCTCCCTCTCCTTACACACGGGAGAGGCGTAGGCAGCCGAGAGGTAGTGGAAGTAGAAGTACAAGGCTGGGATGTATGCCCCGGCGATGAGCACGCCCAACAAGCCTTCAATCACCAGCCACAGGGGGCAATGCCACGGGACCCGCAGGATGCCCATGGCGATGAGGAGGCAGCAGAAGGCCATGAGGGCTCCGCTGCAGGCCATTGCCACGGTGACCATGGGCAGCTTTAGCTGGTAGAACTGGACGTCCAGCTGCTGCGCTTTCTCCCCGTCAGCACCATCGAAACCACTGTAAGCCCCTCCGTACTGGTAGTAGTAAATGCCCCCCAGGCTGGTGATGCCCGTGTAGCCCCCTGTGGAACTGTAAGACACAGAGCTGCAGGCCAGGATCAGCAAGTTCAGGAGAACCTCCAGCATTTGGCAGCAGGCTGCAAAAGAAGGGCGTGTTACCATTTTGAGAGATGCTACTTTGCACTTGGAGACTTCCACCTTGAGGCTTATCTTCCCCGTGGCAGCTCACACCACAGCCAGCTCTTTATTCTGCCCCCTGGAAGGCCTGAGCAGCCAAAGCTGCATGATTAGCATTAGATGGTAGCAGGGAACTGTGGTCTCCAGAAATGATGTCAGAGGTACTTTGGACTGAAAAGGGTAACTCTCAAAAGAGCAAAGCAGCCTGCCCCAGGTGGGCTGCAGGACGATGGGGGCAGAAATCAGGCCAGTGAGCAGAAAGAAAGGTGTCATTTATGGAAGGCAAGAACATTCTCTGCCCTAGCCCTTCCCTGCCAAGAAGACTGAAAAATAGTTATATCCTCTTTAGATATGTTTTGTGGCCATCTTCAGTTTGAAAGAGGAAATTTCTCCAAATTTGAAGGAGCTTATATCATAGTGCTTAAAAAATATAATGACGTTAGAAAAAAAGCATGGAGGTTATCCATCAGAATGTTAACCGTGGTTCACAAGTATTAGGGATAGGAAAGCTTAAGTTAATTAAACCTATAAGGCTTACTGAATTAGAGAAACAATTGGTTTTACTGTTCTTAGACTTTAATTCAATAAGTATGTTTTAAAGTTTAATTTTGTTTTCTTTTAGTTTTTCCCTAAAGAGCAAATCCGGGCTGTGATACTTTCCCAGGGCTGGATTTTTTCAGGACCTTTGGCTGCTTTATCTTGGACGATGAAAGAGCCCCAGATCTTCCACCAAAGCTGGCTACTTTCCTTAAAGTCAGCTTTACTGTTATATAACTTATACACAACAAAATGACCCGCGTTAAAGCAAACAGCTTAGTAAGTTTTGACAACTGTGTATGCCATGTAATCATAATCAAGATATAGACTGTTTTCATCCCCCCAGAAAGCTCCCTAGTCACCCCTTGTGGTCAACCCCTCACCTTCCTCCTCAGGCCACCACTGATCTACTCTCTGCCATTAGGAACTAGGTTTGTCTTTCTCGAATTTCATGCAAATGGAATCATACAGTTAATGTACTCTTCTGTGTTGCTTCTTTTTCTCAGCATAATATAAAGCTGGGTGCTTCTGAGCTGGGAGTTGTACGTGCTGACGTAGGCTCAGTCCCATAAGCACTGAGTTAGGGTATTAAATAAGCATATAAAAGGGGGAGGGAGAATGCAAGTTGGGGGGCAAAAGCCCCACCACTGTCCCTCTGAACCTTTTCAGTGTGGTCACAAGTCAGTGCCACTGGCAGTGAGAAGCCATCTCAAAACCTAAACCTCCAGGCTCTGAGTAAGAGACAGCACCACTGACTATAGAGATTACAACGTTTGGAGAGAGAATGAAATTAAATTTTTAAGGATGGTTTGCAAGTAAGGGAAACATCAAGCCCTTGCATCAAGCTGAATGCAAACATCACTTTTTTTTTTCTTCACAATTTCCTTGTTACACTGGCCTAGCTCTCCTTTTACGATCTTCTCCATCATGATTTGAGCACCAAAGGTCTAAAGGAAGAGGAAAAGGACAAAAGGGAAAGGGGAAGCTGCTCCAAATGCAAATCGGAGGGAGCCAGGAGGGGAGCAGGCCATGTACCTTCTCCCCAGGGAACTTGTAATTCCTCACCAGTCCCTCCAAATAATAAACCTATAACACAACCTATATATGACAGGATTCCTAGTGATCTGATATGCACATGTGACGTCTGTACTTGCTGTTTATCTGATCTTTATCCTCAGCCTTTAAAGATTTTAGTAGCTGAAGAGTCTTGCCCGTAACCGTGAATTCGGAGCTTATCTATTTTTGTCAGTGTTCCACTGAACTTCCTAAGGGTGGCTCAGCCCAAACTGCAGGGTCTCCCTAGGAAGTTAGAAAGAGCCACAGCTGCCTCCCATTGTTGCCAGTTTGCTGGAGGAGGACATGATTTCACTGATGAGGAAAAGAAATCACAAAAGATCTACTCTAAGACGAGGCTGAAAATCTTCAGGTGACCTTTACCCAGGTGTGAATTTCCTGTTTGAGACAAGTTCCCAGTGTTTAATGGCCGTTGCTCTCAACACAACACAGCATTGTGTATGGGTCCCTGCGTGTCCAGAGATCTTTATAAGCCCTTATTTGTTAGCTTCTGACTGCTGAACTATCCTTTCACTATCTTGACTCAGAAACCCAACATCTAGGCCCAACCAAATAGCCAGAAGCAATCAAAGCTAAATCAGGGGCCTCAAGCTCTGCCCTCTCTTCTTGGTAAATCAATCGCTGAAGAAGAATACCTCTAGAGAGAAACCTGTTAAAGAGCATCTGGCTTATTCCTATTATTTATATCATCAAGAAAAGAAGGTCAAGCACATAAACCACTTCAGGCCTTAGAGTCAGGCTCTAACTTTCAATTCCAGCTCTTCCACTTAACTGCTGTGTGACTTTGTATAACTTACTGTACCTCTCTGAGCCTCAGGAGTTGTTGAGAGAATTAAAAGCAACAGGGTGTGCCAACATACGTAAACTAGAGCGAGGATTCTTGTACCTGGATTGCCTAGAGCTCTTCCATGAAAGTTCTGCATAATCCCATAATAATGTATCTCATTGTAATCACTCTAAGAGACATCTTCAGGGGCTTCCCTGGTGGCACAGTGGTTAAGAATCCCCTGCCAATGCAGGGGACACGGGTTTGAGCCCTGGTCCGGGAAGATCCCACATGCCACGGAGCAACTAAGCCCATGTGCCACAACTACTGAGCCTATGCCCTAGAGCCCGTAAGCTACAACTACTGAGCCCATGTGCCACTACTGAAGCCTGCACACCTAAAGCCTGTGCTCCACAACAAGAGAAGCTACCGCAATGAGAAGCCCGCACACGACAGTGAAGAGTAGCCCCCGCTCGCCGCAACTAGAGAAAGCCTACACGCAGCAATGAAGACCCAATGCAGCCAAAAATAAATAAATAAAAAAAAGAGACATCTTCAAGTATAAGTTCCATGATTTCTCCCCCTTAGGCCAAGAAGTTTTCCCCTCTTAGTCATAGGTAGCCGAGGAAAATTTCTTACCCAATCATGTGAGCCGTAAGGGTAAGATTTTCTTCACCCTGACAAACCAGATTTTCTTCATTGTTGGCAAGGCCAGGCCTGGTGCTAGGATGGGAACTCTGGGAAACCACATTTGGAGCTGACACACAATATTATTTAAGTGTTCTTCGTACTGTGGATTCTAATAAGTGTGGTTTTTTGTTTTTGTTTGTTTTCAATGAAATAGAAGTTACTGCCCTTCGTAGGTGATGGCGTGTTGTTTCATGACGTGTGTGTGCATATGCACGCACATGTGTACTTGTTCTTAATGTGAAACCTATTTCTTACTGTGGGTCTCAGTCAACAACATTTAAAAGCCATGATGGCAGGTTTAGGCATCAGAGCTCCTGTCCTGTGGCATGAGCTCAACCTGGCTGCCATCTCCGGTGATCTCTCTTTAACTCGGCCCGCCTTGCCAGAGGGGCCCCCCTCTGACAGCCGGCAACTCAGAGCTGGCTCTGAAAACTGCAGGCATGACTGCCTCACCACATCCGGGCCCGTCCGAGGAGAAACACGGGAAACCTAGCCGCCCCTTTCAGATGTTCCTACCCTTCTTTAGAAAGTGTGAACTTCACGCAGGTATGAAAACGAAAATACGAGGAAACCAAAAGGGAAGTCGGTTTGAATTTTTGCTCCATCATCTCGGACCCCATCCAGAACCACCAGCAACGGTAAGTAATTGGTCAAACTGCCTTCAAAATGGCTCACCTCTCGCGGTGCACAGGTATCTGCACTTGTGGCATTCCAGGAGCCCTTCAGCCTCTGACTGGTAATATTCCACTTCCTCTACTCCAGGCCTGGGGGTCGAAAGTGGGTATCTCCCTGAAGTGGGCTCACTATAATCAAACACATGTGTGGCCATTAGCGGGCTTCAAATTCAATAGCTTGCTCGGCATTAGAACTCTGGACACCTCATGCTGGGCTCAGACATTAAAGAATGCACAGAACAGAAAATCTGCCACAGATTTCATATTCCAGAGAATTTTCTGGTTTAGTGGCTATACAAGGCCTGCAAACACTTGGCCCAGTTCTGCTAATTAAGCACGTCACTTATCTCAGTAATTCTGAGCCCCGCCTCCCATGCTGGCTTGGCCTGCGGGGGAGGGTGTGTGTGTGTTGGGGGGGATATCTAACAGGTAGCTGGGAGCCACCTGGGGGAGCTTTTCAGTTCAGTGAGGACTAGGCCCTCTTCAAAACTAGTTTGCGTTCACAAGACTGATGCCCAGGCTGGCATTCTCTTCCTTCCCTTGTTACTTTGGAAAGAGTTGAATCCACAATCATTCTGTAGGCTATGGGTGGTACAGACAACTTTGGGCATCTTCACATCTCTCCCTCTTCCTCTGCCAGCCCTGGAATATTCTGTTCCTTCTCCTCACCCACCCACCCCGCCCCAACACAAACACCCTTCCCTATCACTTTATCCAGCACATCCTGGGCTTTGTCCAAGATTCAGTGGTGAACGGTGGGGGCTGCATTCTACTAGCTGGGCTCCAGGGATCCTTCTAGAACATAGATCTCACCATGTATTTTTTGCATTTGAAATCCATAAAGTCCAAACTTTAAGCACAGCAAGGGAGGGCCCGTGCTCATCTCTCTCCACTCACAACCTCATGTTCACAGACGAGCCATAGTGAACTGCCCCTCTGCCCACCCCAAAAGATGACCTGCATTCCCATAGCTCCAGGTCACCGTGGAAGCTGCTTCTCTGCTTGACACAGCCTCTTGCTTCTTCTCCAGAACTCAGCTTTGAGCCTGTCTCCTCCAGAAAACATTCCAGAGCCCAGTCAGGGCCCCAGTTCTGTTCTCTTTGTGTCCGTCCCCCTTCTAGAGTGGCACGTTTTACAGGTGCTGCAAATTGGCCTGTTTACTTGTCAGTGTCCTGTGGACACCGTGAGTAGATCTCTGTAGTCCCTGGCCCTACCTCCCATCCATTAAATACATGCTTGTTATGTGGAGGAGAGACAGAAATAAATCGCTCTTGGTTTTAAACCACCAACTGTGAGCAAAAGAAGCAAAAGTATTCCCTTCACTAGCTTTGGGGCTTGGCGGGGGTGAGGACAGGGGGACCAGGACACTAGTTTAGAAGGAAAGCTAGACATGAAGCTCTGGATTCTCCCAGGCCTGGATTCTCCCTGGCAGTTGCAATGCAGTGCAGCTTTAGGCAGGGAGACAGTAGCCAGTGCCTGTGACTGTAACTGGGCACACCCTTTGTCACAGTTTGGCTAGTTAGTTCTAGATAATGTAACATAAACTCAGGATAATAGCTTTCCCGCTGTGTGGACACAACCAGAAGAGAGACTGGGCTTAAGCCTCCAAGTTCCATAGCAGAGAGGAGCCTGGACTCCTCCTAGGGACGAGGGCAAAAACCAGAAGGCAGTCATCACTCCAGCACCTGCCTGTCTCCTTCTTGGCCTGGCATCTAATCTGGGCATTCAGTAATATTTGTGGAGTTGGATGGAACGTGCAATGGAAAAAAGACCACTTCCCTAGAGGGGGAGTGGGGTCTAGGACCACCACCTCTCTTTCCTTCCATCCTTACCCTCTCCCAGCTCACAGTCTTCCAGAACGTCATGATGCTTTCACCCCACAGGCCTTATGGGAACTCTGTTCTACAAGGTAGTGATGGCAAAGTTTGTTCATTCAGGAGGGTGGGGTCTGGAACAATCATGGGATTTGAATGAGCCTGCCCAGAAAGACCTCACTGACAAAGGGGGAAAAAAGTCTCTGCCCTTTTGTGCAGAGTTTTAGGTACATTCAGTTCTTTGGCTAAAAGTGTATCTTCTCCCAGCTGTCTGGTTTTGAAATGCATATACCCCTGGAAGGGATTACACATTAAACTATTAGCTTTTCATTGGTCTTTTATTAGGCCCGGGCCTCCAGGGAACGGGACTTTGGGGAGGGCTGGTTGTGGAGCATAGGACAAGGGTCTGAAGCCCCAAGGGGCAGTCCTGTGACCACATGGGTGGGGGTCAGAGAGGGGCCTCAGATTAACCCAACCCACCCAATCTCCTTCCCACCCCTTCCCTTTCTAGTCCTGAAGTCCTCTCTTCCTCTTCACCTGGTCCCCGGTCCTTCCACTGCTAAAGAGGGGGTCGGGGGCAGGGGGGTGGAGGGTGGAGGGAGGTGGGGGATAGGTCTCTGCGTTGTTCATCAGGTTCAGGTCAAGGAGTGTGTGTGTGTGGGGAGAGGCACTGTAAGGTCTTCCTTCCCTCCCAGGTCACCTCTAAGAGCTCAAAAGGGAAGAATGGCACTTCCTTTAAACCAGCTTCCCAGGACAAGTAGCTGGGACAGCAGAACCGCGCAGACTGGCCTCAGACCCAGGCTTCCTCCGGGGCGAGGTAGAGGGCCCTCGCTGCCCCACCTCACCTTTCTGGTCCTCGGCGTCCGAGGCCCTCCTTCCGCAGGGGCGGTGGCTCCGCGGTTTCCCAAGGCGCGGGCCAGAGGGGCGGGGCCGCGTCCCAGGTCGGCCGCCGGGGTCCGTCCCGCGTCCGACTCTGGCGGGATTGTTCCCAAACTCTTTGTTCACCGCCACGATGGTCCCCGGCCCTGTGTCTGTCCTGGCGGGGTTCCCGGTCCCTCCCCCTGTCCCGGTCCCCGTCCCTCCGCTCGCCCCCGTTTCTCTCCCTGCGCCGGTCCCCGGCTCTATCCCGCTGTCTCTCGGGGTGGCGTTCTCGGTCCGGGCGGGGGTGCCGATCTGGGTCCCGCTCTCTCGGCCGGGCCCGGGACTCGCGATTCCCCGACGTATGTTGTTCCATGGCTCTGTTCCGCGTCCCCGCCCCTGAGCGACCGGAGGGCAACAATCCACAAGTTTCCCCGGCAGGTGGCCAAGCCCGGGGGCGGGGCAGGGCGGGGCGGGACGCTCACCTGCGCGCACGCGCACTAACCCTGCTGCGGGCCAGGAGAGCGTTCACTTCAGCGCGCGCGCCGGCAGGGGACGCTGCTGAGCGCGGCCCGGGGTCTGGGCGCGCGTGCGCCTGGATGGGGTGCGAGCCTGGAGGGGCTTGCTGCTTTACACACAGAGGAGGGGACTCCCGCCCTCCCGCCGTGCCCCGTCGGCCCTGAAGTATCCGCTTTGCGACCCCTCAAGATGGGCTGCCTAGGGAACTGTGCTCTCAACTTAGCACCTTGGGTATGCTTCCCCAGAGTGTTCACCCATCCGCTGTCTCACCCATCCGTCCACTCAGCCACCCAGCCGGCCCCCCAGCCACTGTCCGTCTCTTCCTCCCTCTCCTGCTATTCTTACAACAACTATGTTGTGGGGGACTTGAGGCCAGTTCATCCAAGAGTCCTGGACTCATAAATGTTTTTTTAAAAAATGATGAACCACACAGAATTGGCAGCCTCTTCTTTTGCCAAGGAAGGATATATAAAAACATACAAAATTGCCGTCTATTAATGAATTCTTTCAACGAATATGTGTGAGCCCCTAGCCTAGCAGGTGCGGGAGATCCAGCAATGAGCTCTCCTTGTACCGTGCGTCCATTCTACTGTGTGTGGAAAAGGAGAACTGGCAAGAAACAGAGAAGACAATCTGACGTCTAAATTTTGATGAAGCAGGTTTCTTTATATAGATCTGGGAAGGCGACATTTGAGTTGAGTCCTAGAAGAGAAGGAGGCAGCCTTGAGGAGAGCTGAGAGAATGTTCCAGAAAGAGAGAAACCCTGACTTACGCAGAGAGCTGTACAAGAAGGTCACTGCAATCAACTATGCTCCAAAATTTCTTAAATGAAAAAAAAAGAGAATGTCACTGTGAGCGGAGTGAGGGGGCATGAGATGAGACTGAGAAGTGGAGCAGGAGATGGTGTAGGGTCTTCATGGTGAAGAATCTTTATTTTCAAAGAGCAACGGGGAAATATTGACGTGTTTTGAAACACTGAGTGGCTTGCTCTGATTTACGTTTTTAAAAAATAAAGATTACTCTGGCTTCTGTGAGGAAGATGGACTGCGTGGGCCTGAGAGCACAGTCAAGAGATGAGTTAGGAAGCTACTGAAGAACTCCAGGTGAGGGGTGATGGTGGCTGAGTTGATGGTGAGAAGTGGACAGATCTGGATTGTAGTTTGGAGGAATAACTTAAAGCATGGGTGGATGGAGGTACCATTTACTGAGATGGGAAGACTGGAGAGAACCAGGTTTGGGGAAACTTGGAGAGTTCCGTTTTGGATGTGTTGAAAGAGCACGACTCATCCCACGACTTAATGAAGCTCAGGTTCTTTATGTCTCGGCACAGGAGGAATTCAGCGAGAGGCAAAGCCATAGGTAAGATGTAGATTTGTTAATATAGGATGCTTGTGAAGGATACAGGCGAGCAGGCAAGAGGGCTCTGCCTCGAGAACTAAGTGGGCTACATATTTATAGTCAAAGCAAAAGTAGGGAGGGAGAGAAGACTACCTTCTTCCTCCTCCTTTGTATAAAGATGTTGCAGGAAAATGGGAGAGGATGGTCATGTCTCAGGTCTCAGGCGAGTTCCTGGGACAGGCCACCAAGTAAGGATCCTTGGCTTCATGCAGGAAAGAATTCAAGAGCAAGCCATGGTAAAGTGAAAGCAGGTTTATTCCATAGGCAGAATGTATTCCATCTCAGAAGGAGATAGCAGCCCCGAAATATGGGGCGGTTAGTTTTTATGGGCTGGGTAATTTCATAGGCTAACAAGTGGGAGAATTATTTGAACTATTTGGGGGGAAGAGGTGGGGATTTCCAGGAATTGGGCCGCTGCCCACTTTTTGGCCTTTTATGGTTGGCCTCAGGACTGTCATGGCGCCTGTGGGTGTGTCATTTAGCATATGCTAACATATTACAATAAGCATATAATGAGGCTCAAGGTCTACTGGAAGTCGAATCTTCTGCCATCTTGGGCCTAGTAGGGTCTAACTAGTTTTTGTCATATCCTCAACAGCTATGTTATTCTTTTAAGGAGAGACGGAGTTAGAATAGAGGCCCAGGGGAAACTAACATTTAGAGCTAAAAAGCAAGAGGATTAAGAAGTGAGGAGTGAGATAGGAGGAAACCCAGGTGGGTGGGGTCACCAGGCCTATCTGCTCAGACACCAACCCCCATCCCACAGAAGTGCTCCTGTGAGCTCCAACAGCCTTTCTTCCCAGAGTGGAGAAGGTGGGGCCAAATCCTGGGACCTTCCACAAATATTTATTTGCACAAAACCCTGTTCTGAACCCGGAACAGCTATGGCTAGAGAAGAGTTCTGTGAACAAGCAGACACAGGATGGTCCTTTCTCTCTCAGACCTTCCCTCTGGGCCTCTGGAACCTTCTTTTTGAGTAAACAAACCCTCATACCAGCTTACCATTTTGTTTCATTTGCTTTATTTTGTATCTTTACCTTGATAAACATTGTTATTTTGCCACATTTGTTCTATCTTTCTCTATATAGCTATAAACTTTTTTTGATGAAACATTGGAGTGTAAGTTCCAGACACATGACTCTCCCCACTGAATACTTACTTACTCAATTTGAATTTGTCTGATCATTTCCTTATGATTAAATTCTAGGTTAATACTTTTGGCAGGAATATTAAAATAGGTGATGTTATATCCTTCTTTGTATGTTCTATCAGGAGGCACAGATGTCAAGTTTGTCCCATTATTGGTGATGTTACATTTGATCACTTGGATGAGGTGGTGTCCATCAGCTTCTCCATTTTAAAGGAAACCCCTCCCATTTGTATTTAATAACTTTGTATGTTCCTTCTTAACCTTTCTTGCCTGAATGAATTATTACAATGGTGTTTGCAGAGGTGTAGTTTCTAACTCTATCAATCTTTCTATATTTATTGATTTATTGGCATTCTTCTATAATGAAGAACTTTCCCTTCCATCTTTTGTGATCATCCTGCAGAAGCAGTTTGTACACCCGACCCCCAATTTGGTTCCAATGTCAAGACTGATGATGTCAAAAATGCACCAATGGAGTATGTTTGTTGCTCACATAATGAGGCTTTCTGGTGAGAGCAGAACAGTTTCCCAGGTTGGTTTGAAAATGGCTTGAGAAAGCAGGAAGAGGTGACTAGCTTTGGGGTTTTATTGTAATTTGGGAATAGGACTGGGGTGAAGGTTCTTATGTGTGGACTAGAACTTGCATGGTGTGAACTTCCTGCCATTGTCAAGGGCGTAGCTGGGCTTTCTTATCAGCTTGCGCAGACGTGGGACAGAAGGGGAAGGGGAGTGATAGGGCTTGAAAGATGTCAGCAGTCAGATGTCAAAAACGGAGTCAGACTATTAACTTGATAGACAATTTTTCTCTAATAATGTGTTATAATCTATTAATTTTTTTGATACTTAAAATTTCCCAAATTTTGCCAGTGGGAGTCCCTTCAAGCTGTTTCTGACATGCTTTTGACACCAGGAGAAACATGCTGATACGCTCATCAGTCTTTGTGGTTTCATCTTGTGCCTCGTGGCCTGACCTGCCTCTTCCCTGAAGATCTCACTTCCCTTGATGCTCCCTCATTTGAAGAATGCTTGCTCCTGAGCCCCACATAGGAATGTTCTGTTAACTTCCGTATTCAGAGTATCCCCTGTTCCTTTGAGGCTTGTCAGAATTAGGTTATAAGATGGGCTGGATGAGCCAGTGACCCAACACAACAGTATCTTAAGCATGATAGAAAGTTATTTCTCTCTTGGAAAAGTCCAAGCCCATTTGGTGGCTCTGCTCTCTGAAGTTCTTGGAAGTCCAGGCTCCTTCTATGTTGTTGTTCTGTCACTCTTCAGATGCTGCCCTCATCTACAAGGTCCAAAATGTCAACACTGTGTTGACGTTTCAGCCCATAGAAAGGAAAGAAAATTAGGGATTGGTAAGGGCTCTCCTCATTTCTTTAAGAGCGAGACCAACAAGTTGGAGACATCACTTCTGCTCACATCTTGTCGGCCAGAAGATAGTCACATGACCATAGGTAACTGCAAAGGAAACTGGGAAGTGTAGCTAGGTACCCAACCAAAAATTGGGGGATAAAGCTGTGAGAGTGAGGGGAAGAACGGAAAACACGCATTTCATCTGTGGGTCTCAAACTTTGAAATTATACATTTATTTGTGTTGTCTCTTCCTCTCTCTAGTCTGTCAGCCCCCTGGGACGATGTCTTTGCCATTATACATGGCACACAGTTGCTGCTCAATAAGTAATTGTTGAGTGAATAACATTAGTTCTTAGATGAATCTGTGTACTCAGGAAGAAGACAGGGACCTTATATTTTCCATAACATCTTGAACAAGGTACAAGATGGCATAAAATGCATTAAAAGTAAAACAATCCTAATGTGTATAATTTTTAATAAATCCATCAACAACACAGGTAAGGAGGAAATAAGTAAATAAGATATTTCAGAGTTAGAGACCAATAAAAATATGGTGTTTTTATTTAATTTTAAGTTTATGTCCTTTTATTTTAGTTTTTGTAGAAGGTTAGGAACCAATGCCCTGACCTCACTTTTGCCTTGAAAAATGTAACATCTTTTGGTCATTCCACTATTATTCCAGGAATGCTTGGTTAGACGTTATGCAGATGGTAGAAGGTTATAAGAGCAGCGGCTCTTTTCTGAGGAAACCCTCTGAGTTTTCAACTAAAGCAAAGAGCACAACTAGAAGATGACTGAAGAGGAGGGAAAAGGAAAATACTTGCCATTTGTGTATTAAAGATAATTTTCCAAAAAAAGGTAAAATGACAACTGTCATTCAGATATAAAATGAACACATGCTAAAGATTTTATTTAACTCAATAATCAGTGAGGGAATCAGGCAAATGTTACAGCAGGTTCAGAAGAGAACCTGAAGATAGACTCATCATAAATCAGGAATAAGGAAATCAATGTAT